AAATGTTTGCCAGATTTTAAAAATGACACCGCAAACGACTCCGTTGAGACGACCAAAACGCAGGCGGCGATCGTCGCCGTCCTGTCCTGGCAGCGGCCTGGTGCCTCCCCCCCCCCCCCCAGGGTCACTATTTGTGCGTGCGTCCGTGCTGCTGGACATCTGTTGGCAAAGAACTTCGCAGAACATCAGATTTCTGCAGTGCAGTAGCAAACCGACGTGGGTGCGTGCGTGTGTGTGCGCGTGCGTGTGCGTTCGCGTGTGCGTGCGTGTGCGTGTGTGTGTACGTGTGTGTGTGTGTGTGCGTGTGTGCGTGTGTGTGTGTGTACGTGTGTGTGTGTGTGTGCGTGTGCGTGTGTGCGTGTGTGTGCGTGCGTGTGCGTGCGTGTGCGTGCGTGTGCGTGTGTGTGCGTGCGTGTGTGTGCGTGCGTGTGTGTGTGCGTGTGCGTGTGTGTGCGTGTGTGTGTGTGCGTATGCGTGTGTGCGTGTGTGTGCGTGTGTGTGCGTGTGTGTGCGTGTGTGTGTGTGCGTGTACATGTGTGTGCGTGTGCGTGTGTGTGTGTGCGTGTGCGTGTGTGCGGTGTGTGTGTGTGCGTGTACATGTGTGTGCGTGTCGAGCTTGTTTCGCGCCGTGCGTAGCCCACCGCGCTAAAATCGCGAGGCGCGGGGAATGGAACTCTACGGCCCGGGGAGATGGAGCGACGAAATCGGGTCGCGCGAGCGCGCTGGATTCCTCCCGGCGTAAGTGAACGCCCCGGCTCTATATCGCGAATGAGGCCGCTCCTGGTCCCGCGAGTTCTCGCCCTGCCAGGGCAAAGAAAGAAACGAAAATAGAGCGTGGGTGGGTTGGTGGACAAATGACCGTTTCCCGAATCTGTTGACGGATATGAAAGTCCGGAACCGGTCACAGATTCTGGTAGATTCCGGTGGCCAGAGACGGGGCAGGATTTAAGAGACTTGGTCCCTATTGGTTCAATTGCCACACTGGGAGATGGAATCTCAGAATCTGTGTGTTTAGACTGCAGGAGGAATCTGATGAGCCATGAAGCTCTTTGTTTACAGTAGGGGTACGGGGTAAGAACGTAACAACAAACAATACAAAAATCACTCAAACACAAACAAATATATCACTAAACCATCCCTGTCCTACCAGACGAAGCCCACCGAGGTTTTCACTTCTTTTTCAGAAGCGATCTGGCCACAAATGACAGCTCAACAAAGTGGCTCACCATCATTTGGACATTTATAGCAGCCAAGATAATCTGAATAGTCTAAACGCGTGTTTCTAAATGTGGAGGGGAAAAACCGGAGGACCCGGAGAAAAATGCACATGACCAAGCGGAGAGAGACATGCACACTCCAAATATACAGCAGCAGCAGGCGTCAGGGTCGGGATCCAACCCACGACCTCCTGTAAACCAGGCGAGGTAGTCAACATCTCCTAGCCACCGTGATGATGACAGAGAGAGACGCGGACTCCAAATATACAGCAGCAGGCATCAGGGTCGGGATCGAACCCACGATCTCCTGCATACCGGGCGAGGTAGTCAATATCTCCCAGTCACCGTGATGATGATGACAGAGAGAGACGCGGACTCCAAATATACAGCAGCAGGCGTCAGAGTCGGGGTCGGATCTAACCCCGGTGAGCTCTAGGTCGCGAGTCCGGTCTGATGACCGCTACACCACTGTGGCAGCTGAACTTCGCTCCCCAAAGGCGACCGCGTGGCGTTCATCCTTTCTCCAGGTTGCCGTGTGTGCGGCGAGCCCGCGAACCGGTCGTGCAAACAAAATAATTTTAACAAATCGGTCAGCTCAGAATCGCTGAGCTAGCAATGCGGAGGACTTTCATCCGAGCCCCCTTTGGGCTCCGTGTTGACCCCAGTTCGACTCCCGCTCGAGGTCTACGTCGGTGGCGAATATCTCAATCGGTCCCGGGCCTCCACTAGGTCGACTCGGTCTCAAACGCGTGCTCGGTGCGGCGTGCAAACATCGGCACCGCGGGAAGACAAGGGGGTGGACTTGCCGATGACTGGTACCAGCGGTGTCAAGATCGGCCTCTGTGGAGGAGGCTCGTGAAGGACGCTACTGGGCAGTTGGAGGCAGTCGCCCTCCAACAACAACGGAGGGCGGAGGAGCGACGCTCACAACAACGAGCGGAGCGCCGGGTGGCTAAAGCACAGCAAGTTGGTACAGTAGGGGGCACAGGTGGTGCATCAGCCAGTCATCTCGGTCATCTCGGTCAGTCGATCCGTGGCAACTGGATCTGGCCCGTGACCTCCTGCCAGCGGGCGTTTGACACTTCACGTGGCCTCAAGGTGCACATGGCCTGGCACAAGCGTCGTGGTGACGTCACCGCCACTTAGTGGCGAATGGCGGTTGTTGTTGTGTGCGCGTGTTGTGGGGAGCGGTGGTGTAGCGGTTCGTGCTCTGCGCTACAAACCTGGCGACCCGGGTTCGATTCCTGCTCACGGCCAACACCAGTGACGATTATCTCAACCGGTCCCGGGCCTCCCCTAGGTCGACTCAAATGAGTACCCGGTGCGTTGTGTAAACATCTCCACTGGGGAGACAAAGGCTGGTCGGGCGTGGTGCCGGCCTTTATCGGCGCTGGTCGCTAACAGAACTTGCACGAGCAGGTCGTCTCTATGGCTACACGGTGCGTCCCTGTCACGCGCGTGTTGGTGTAAGCTCGTCTGTGCTCTCAGCCCGTGCTAAACAAAGACGCGCATTCTGATCCATGACCTTGACATCAACTGCACAACTACTCGCGATCTCTCCCTCCCTCCCTCGCTCCCTTACTGTGCCGCTCACCCACCCACTCGCTCTCCCCAACGCTCGCCCGGGCAACACACGCGTACACAGCACGGGCCACGCGTCACTCCACTGCTGGATGAGGAAGCCTCCGAACTCGGGGTGCCACCGTGAGCCAAACCCGTGCCTCCTCGCTGAAGCGGCGGAGGCTTCTGGCTAAACCGTCGAACAAATGGCGTCGCGCGGCGCTTTCAGACACGCTTCCGCGGCCGTCTGGAACGCTCTTCCCTTCCGATATTAGGAAGCCAACAGAGCTACGCACTTTTAAATAATCGTCTCGATTAACAAACTGACTTCTTTACAACTACTTTGTGTGTGGTTTTTTTGTTATCCTTCCCCCCCCCCCCCGACACCTCCGATGAGCACGGCTGGCTACGTACGGCGCGAAAGAAGTTCAATGTCCACGCGTACACGAAGCGTAAACAGTGGCGAGGCCGTGCTGTGTGCGGTTGCGGCGGCTCGGGCCGAGCGCATTGTCGGTGACATCTGCAGGGAGCGGCTTTAAATAGCTCTGTTTACCGGCAGCCTTCCTACGTGCGGCCACGACCCAGCACCATCATCAGCAATCACACACCACCCACACAGCACACGCAGCGCACACGTGACAACCACACACAGCACACACACATCACACACACAGTACACACGTGACAACCACACACAGCACACACACATCACACACACAGCACACCACGTGACAACCACAAACACACCACACTCCACCAGACCCTTGCCCGCTCGGAGACCAGCTGGTGAGACTGACCCTGTGCCGCTCAGGGACAGCTGCCGCTGGGGGTGCCCCCTAGGCGAGACGGCACAACAATCACCGCCCCCCCTCCCCTCTCCGACTCGCAGGCCAATGCCCGCTCGCAGGCCACGTTGCCGAGTCGCCTCCTTGTGCCGCACAGGGACAGCTGCCGCTTGGAGGGTCCCCCCCCCCAGCCCCCTTCCCTACCGCGTAGAGTTGCGGCGCAGGCCGCTTCCTGTGAGGCCGCCCCAGACAGAGTGAGGCAGGAGGAGGAGGAGGAGGCGTTCGTCACGAAACGCAGGTCGTTCTCCACGTCAGCGCGTTGCGACCTCCCCTGGGGTCCTTTCATTCGGACTGCCGTGACCTTGGCCAGTTCCGTTCTTGGGCAGGACGGTGGCGGCGGCGGTGACGTTGTGGTGCAGCGGCAGCGACGTAGCTTGTGTTGGCATGGCCACAGTCGCTCTGCTGTGGCTTGTGTTTAGCGTATCTCTTAAGGGCCTCTGTGAATCTGTGCGTGTCTCTATGAATCTCGGTGTGTCTATGTGAGTCTGCATGTCTCTGTGTGTCTGTGTGAGTCTGTGGGTTCACTGTGCGGTCCGTAGCTTGTGTTGGCATGGCCACAGTCGCACTGCTGGGGCTTGATTGTAACGTATCTCTAATTGACTGTCACATTGATATATTTACACGATCTGACCCAAAAAAAACCTCTATGCATAAAAACACATTTTGCAGGGTGTCCTATAAGTCTGGAATCATAGGAAAAACACAGCTCTGTGTTATTGGTCTCTATGCAGTCCGTTACATTCGCAGCGACCTCCCTCTGACTCCGATTTCCTACGAGTAGAATTATCTGGACTCGTTCTTCCTTCCTCCCAGACATCTTGGGCCTGCAGAAACAATAGAAATACGAAATCGTTATTTCCCCCTACGATTGCAGACTTATGTGCCACCCTGTATATAGTTTTATCCTGGGATGGTGACAGCAGCAGCAGCAGCGCCAGCAGCAGCGGCGTGATCCCAGGAGGGGATCATTGTTTCTCGAGTCGGCGGCGGTGGCGAGGAGGAGACACCGTCGAGGTCTTGTTGGCGATGGTTGTTGGGTCTCTGGATTGTCGTCGGCAACACGAGAACTCGCCCAACTCCCGTGCGGTTTGCCGCGGCGTCCCCTGCGGATCCGTGGCGCCGGGGCGGTCGGCACAGCGAGCCGAGGGATCGGTGTCGGGTCTCGGAGTTCCGGTCACGATTCCTGTCGCGATGTTTAACCGCGCGACCCGGCAAGTGGTCGCCGCGCACGAGCCGGCGGGTGAGGCCAGAGAGCGCGGCGAGGGAGGCGGTGTCACAGGGGCGGCTCTTGGTGTTTCCACGGAGCTCGCCAACGAGCCGTGCGGCCTGTGGCTAAGGAGCCGCTGCGTTGTGCATCCTTCGTGTGTCCTGAGCGCAGGGGGGGGTCTCGTGGCGCGGGGGGCCATGTCCCTGGTGGTGACGCCGGCGGCCAGGGGCGGAGGAGGAGCCGTCTCTAGGAGCCGCTCGTTCGCCGGGTTCAGCGCCGCTCACGAGCGCAGTCGCCGGTACCGACTCGCTCACCGCTCACTCACCACTCACCGCTCACTCACTCACCTCTCACTCACCGTTCACTCACCGCTCACCACTCGCTCACTCGCCACTCGCTCACCATTCACTCACTCACTCGCCGCTCACCACTCACTCGCTCACTCGCCGCTCACCGCTCACTCGCTCGCCACTCACTCGCCACTCACTCGCCACTCACTCGCCACTCACTCACCACTCGCTCACTCGCCGCTCACTCGCTAGCTCACTCACCATGCGCTCGCTCACCACTCACTCACCGACTCATTCTCTCGCCGCTCACTCGCTAAATCGCCACTCACTAACCACTTACTCACGAACCACTCACTCACCGACTCACTTACCGACTCACTCACCGACTCACTCACCACTCACTCACCACTCACTCGCCACTTCCCGACTCACCACTCACTCACTAACCATTCACTTAACTGTGCGTAGAGGTACACACAAAGACAAAGATCCCCCGTGTAGCCTGTACCAGACTGTAGGGGCAAGTGCTGTTAGTGAGCACCTATGAAGGCTGGCACGACACACGAGGGGGTGGGTGGCCAGCACCACGCCCGGCCGCCTTTGTCTCCCCAGTGGCGATGTTAACACAATGCACCGGGTACTCATTTGAGGCCGAGTCGACCTAGGGGCGAGGCCCAAAACCGGTCCAGATACTCGCCACCGACGGTTGGCCGTGAGCAGGAATCGAACCGCTGCGCGAAACGTAAATAACCGCACCGCCTTGCCTGCACATTGTGATGCACTCCGAGCCCGTTAGCCAGTTAGCCTGTTAGCCTGTTAGCTCGTTAGCTCGTTAGCCTGTTAGCCTGTTAGCCTGTTAGCCTGTTAGCTCGTTAGCTCGTTAGCTCGTTAGCCTGTTAGCCTGTTAGCCTGTTAGCCTGTTAGCCTGTTAGCCTGTTAGTCTGTTAGCCTGTTAGTCTGTTAGCCTGTTAGTCTGTTAGCCTGTTAGCTCGTTAGCTCGTTAGCCTGTTAGTCTGTTAGCCTGTTAGTCTGTTAGCCTGTTAGTCTGTTAGCCCGTTAGCCCGTTAGCCCGTTAGCCTGTTAGCCTGTTAGCCTGTTAGTCATCATTAACAGCTGGCGGCTCCGACTCGCACCACTCCCTGCGTTGCCTTGGCACTCACACACCGCGCCTGCACCCCCTCCTCTACCCCCCCTTCCACTCCCTCCACCACCCCTTGCACCCCCTCCCACGTCCTCCACCTGCTGCCGTGTGTCCCATGTGCTGTCACCCACCCACGTGTGCGTGTGTGCGTGCGTGAGTGCGTGTGTGTGTGCGTGTGTGCGTGCGCGTGCGTGCGCGTGTGTGCGTGTGTGTGCGTGTGTGCGTGCGCGTGCATGCGCGTGCGCGCGTGTGTGTGTGCGTGTGTGCGTGAGTGCGTGTGCGTGTGTGCGTGCGCGTGCGTGCGCGTGTGTGTGCGTGTGCGCGTGCGTGCATGTGTGTGTGCGTGTGTGTGCGTGCGTGTGTGCGTGCGTGCGTGCGTGCGTGAGTGCGTGTGCGTGTGTGCGTGCGCGTGCGTGCGCGTGTGTGTGCATGTGCGCGTGCGTGCATGTGTGTGTGCGTGTGTGCGTGCGTGTGTGTGTGTGTGCGTGCGCGTGCATGCGCGTGCGCGCGTGTGTGTGTGCGTGTGTGCGTGAGTGCGTGTGCGTGTGTGCGTGAGTGCGTGTGCGTGTGTGCGTGCGCGTGCGTGTGTGTGTGCGTGTGTGTGCGTGTGTGCGTGCGTGTGTGCGTGCGTGAGTGCGTGTGCGTGTGTGCGTGCGTGTGCGTGTGTGCGTGCGCGTGCGTGCGCGTGTGTGTGCGTGTGCGCGTGCGTGCATGTGTGTGTGCGTGTGTGCGTGTGTGTGCGTGTGTGTGCCCGCGTTGTGTATTTTGTATCTGCGAGTACGATCGCTGGCCACGGCTCGCATCGAGCGGCGGTTATCCGATCCGGTCCTGGGCCCGCCCTTAGGTCGGCTCAGCCTTCACAGAGTCCTTGGAGTGTTGCGTAAATAAACATGGCCGCTGGGGAGACAAAGGCGGCCGGGCGTGGTGCTGGCCACCCACCCCCTCGTGTGCCGTGCCGGCCTTCTGAGGCGCTGCTACTCACTAACAGCAGCAGACACGAGCCCGGTGACCCGGGTTCGATTCCCGCTCACGCCCACCAACACCAGTGGCGATGATCTGAATCGGTCCCGGGCATCCCCCAAGTCGACTCGGCCTCAAATGAGTACCTGGTGCGGTGTGTAAACACGGGCATCGTCACCGTCACCACCACCTTCATCACCATCGCCACCGTCACCACCACCACCACCAGCGTAACAATCATCATCTGTGTCATCTTCACCACCACCACCACCGTAATAAGCATCGCCACCGTCTGTCTGTGCACCCCCCTTGCCCCCCCCCCTTGCCCCCCCCTTGCCCCCCCCCTTGCCCCCCCCCCCTTGCCCCCCCCCGCCCCCCGTAGGTCGCGTGCCACTCCCCGGCGCTCCCCGACGCGCTCGGCCAGGATGTTTGCCGGCTCCAGCAAGTCGCCGGGCGGTGGTGGCGGTGGTGGCGGTGGCGGTGGTGGTGGCGGCTCCTCCCCACGGCTGCCGCAGCCGCAGCGACTGGACGAGGTCTATGGGGCCCTCAAGAAGGGGCTCGGGTGAGGCCTGGGGGGGGCCTGGGGGGCCTGGGGGGGGGTGAGGCCTGGGGGGTGGGGGGGGCCTGGGGGGGTGGGGGGGGACACGCTGGGGGGGGGCCCACTGCGGGGGTGTTCCATCTCTGATTACACGCAGACATATTACACACACACAGATTACACACACACACAGGTTACACACACACAGATTACACACACACACAACAACTGGGGAGACAAAGGCGGCCGGGCGTGGTGCTGGCCACCCACCCCCTCGTGTGCCGTGCCGGCTTTCATAGGTGCTCGCTAACAGCACTTGCCCCTACAGTCTGTTAAGGCTATATGGGGGAGCTTGTCTGTGGTGTGTGTGTGTGATGTGTGCGTGATGTGTGGTGTGTGTGGTGTGTGTGTGGTGTGTGTGTGGTGTGTGTGTGATGTGTGTGTGTTGTGTGTGTGGTGTGTGTGTGGTGTGTGTGTGGTGTGTGTGTGTTGTGTGTGGGATGTCTGTGTGTGGTGTGTGTGTGGTGTGTGTGTGTGGTGTGTGTGTGATGTGTGTGTGGTGTGTGTGTGGTGTGTGTGTGGTGTGTGTGTGTGGTGTGTGTGGTGTGTGTGGTGTGTGTGTGGTGTGTGTGGTGTGTGTGATGTGTGTGGTGTGTGTGTGTGGTGTGTGTGTGATGTGAGGTGTGTGTGTGTGTGGTGTGTGTGTGTGATGTGTGGTGTGTGTGTGTGATGTGTGGTGTGTGTGTGTGATGTGATGTGTGTGTGGTGTGATGTGTGTGTGGTGTGTGTGTGTGATGTGTGGTGTGTGTGTGTGATGTGTGATGTGTGTGTGGTGTGATGTGTGTGGTGTGTGTGTGATGTGGTGTGTGTGATGTGTGGTGTGTGTGTGTGGTGTGTGGTGTGTGTGTGATGTGTGTGTGGTGTGTGTGTGGTGTGTGTGTGGTGTGTGTGTGGTGTGTGTGTGGTGTGTGTGTGGTGTGTGTGTGGTGTGTGTGTGATGTGTGTGGTGTGTGTGTGTGGTGTGTGTGTGTGGTGTGTGTGTGTGGTGTGTGTGTGTGGTGTGTGTGTGTGGTGTGTGTGTGTGTGTGGTGTGTGTGTGTGATGTGGTGTGTGTGTGTGTGATGTGTGGTGTGTGTCTGTGTGATGTGTGATGTGTGTGTGTGATGTGTGATGTGTGTGTGTGATGTGGTGTGTGTGTGGTGTGTGTGTGATGTGTGGTGTGTGTGATGTGTGTGTGTGTGGAGTGTGTGTGATGTGTGGTGTGTGTGTGTGATGTGGTGTGTGTGTGTGTGGTGTGTGTGTGATGTGTGTGTGTGTGTGTGTGTGTGTGTGTGTGGTGTGTGTGTGTGTGTGTGATGTGTGTTTGGGGTGTGTGTGGTGTGTGTGTGATGTGTGGTGTGTGTGTGGTGTGTGTTTGGTGTGTGTGTGGTGTGTGTGTGATGTGTGGTGTGTGGTGTGTGTGTGATGTGTGGTGTGTGTGTGGTGTGTGTGTGTGGTGTGTGTGTGATGTGTGGTGTGTGTGTGTGATGTGTGGTGTGTATGTGATGTGTGTGGTGTGTGTGTGTGTTAGTGAGTTCCTGCAGGCTCATCATACCGAACTGGAATCGATGACCATCCACCAGAAGGAAATGAAACGCAACTCACGGCTGGTGAGTGGTGGTGGCGATGGTGACGGTGATTGTGATGATGATGATGAACACGGCGGTCATGATTGTGATGATGATGATGATCACGTGGGTGGTGATTGATGATGAATATGGTGGTGATGGTGATGACGGTGATGATGAACACGGTGATGGTGATTGTGATGATGATCACGTGGGTGGTGATTTATGATGATGAATATGGTGATGATGGTGGTGACGATGATGACCACGTGGGTGGTGGTATTACGGTGTTCTCTAGTCGATACGATGCGCCACTGTTCCCTCGTATTCAAAAATTGGGGGAGCGTTTTAACAGTCTGGTAGCAGTGTGTGTGTGAGAGATCAGATTTGTGTAACTTTACTGATGGCAGGAAAATGATTGGTTAATCCGGAGAAGGCGGTAGTCGTGGTGATGATGAAGATGATGCTACTGCTGAAAATGCTGATGCTGCTGCTGATGATGCTGATGCTGCTGCTGATGATGCTGATGCTGCTGATGATGATGCTGATGCTGCTGCTGATGATGCTGATGCTGCTGCTGATGATGCTGATGCTGCTGATGATGATGCTGATGCTGCTGCTGATGATGCTGCTGCTGATGATGATGCTGATGCTGCTGCTGATGATGCTGCTAATGGTGCCCTATCGTGCACCTCGTCCCACCTCATCGTTTGTCTTCTGTGCCCACACCTCTTTCCCCCTCTTTCCCACACCTCCTCTGCCCATATCTCTACTACCCACGTCTCTCTCCCGCCCCCTCCTCTGCACTCGTCGTCACCTCCTCGTCGGCGTCACCTCCTCGTCGGCGTCACCTTGTCAGGGCTTCGTGTACGACCTGGACAAGGTGAGATGAGTGTTGTGTACCCAGCACAAACACACACACAGACTACACACACATACACACACGACATACACACACACACACTACACACACACACATACACACACTACACACACATACACACACGACATACACACACACACAGACTACACACACACTACACACACACACTACACATACACGCACACAGACACACACACAAACACACACACAGACACACTACACGCACAGACTACACACTACAGACTCCACACACAAACTACACACTACATACACACAGATTACACAAACACACACTACACACACATACTACACATACACACACACAGACACACACACAAACACACACACAGACACACTACACACACAGACTACACACTACAGACTCCACACACAAACTACACACTACATACACACAGATTACACAAACACACACTACACACACATACTACACATACACACACACAGACACACACACAAACACACACACAGACACACTACACACACAGACTACACACTACAGACTCCACACACAAACTACACACTACATACACACAGATTACACAAACACACATCACACACAGACACACACACTACAAACACAACCGTGCGAGCCCCGTGGTGTGCTATTGGGGACTGATCGCAGACTCTGCATCAGCGAGCACCGGCTCCTGTACCGTGCTGACGAGTCCCAATGAGGACAAAGCCGGTCCACAGTTGTCTGCTGCCGCCGCTGCTGTCAGACGATCGTCATCGTCGTCATCGTCAGAATCGCTGTCGCTATTGTCATCGCCATTGTCATCCTGTCTCCTTTGTGATTCCTCTCCAGCAAATCAAGTCGACGGAGCGATTCATCCGGAGACTCGAGTTCCACGTCAGCAAGGTGACGCTGGAGCGAGCGTGTGTGTGTGCATGCGTGTGTGTGTGTGTGCGTGTGTGTGTATGTGTGTGTGTGCGTGTGTGTGCGTGTGTGTGTGCGTGTGCGTGTGTGTGTATGTGTGTGTGTGTGTATGTGTGTGTGTGTGCGTGTGTGTGTGTGTATGTGCGTGTATGTGTGTGTGTGTGTGCGTGTGTGCGTGTGTGCGTGTATGTGTGTGCGTGTATGCGTGTATGCGTGTATGTGTGTGTGTGTGTATGTGTGTGTGTGTGTATGTGTGTGTGTATGTGTGCGTGTGTGCGTGTGTGCGTGTATGTGTGTGTATGTGTGTGCGTGTGTGTGTGTGTGCGCCGCCGGTTCGGCGTCTGGGGGAGCGGCGGTGCAGCGGTTGGCGCACCGCGCTGCGAACCCGATGTCAAAAGGTCTTTAATAGTTTTTTTACTAAAACTATTAAAGACCTTTTTAAAATATTTTAGCAGGTAAGACCCCGCTGAGCTACGTAGCTCTTTTTCAGAAGCGACTTGGCCATCACAAATGATAACTCAACGAAGTGGCTCATCATCATCATCATGATCATCGTCATCGTCATCAGGACCCGTAGAAAAATCCACGCGATCACGGGGAAAGAGACACCACAAACTCCAAATATACAGCAGCAGGCGTCGGGGTTGGGATCGAACCCACGACCTCCTGCACACCCGGCGAGATAGTCAACATCTCCTGGCCACCGTGGTGGGCCCGTGTGTGTGCAGGTGGAGGAGCTGTACGAGACGTACGGGATCCAGCGCAGGCTGCGGGACGGCGCGCGCCGGATGATGGCCGCGTACGAAACGTCGCCGGGCAGCAGGGAGGCGCGGGACACCCTGCAGGAGGTCACCCGGGGTCACCGCGAGTACACGGAGGTGCGGACACAGACGCGGGGACGCGCGGACACAGACACGCGGACACGTGCGCACACGGACACGCGGACGCGGAGACACGCGGGGACGCACGGACACGCAGACGCACCGACGCTGTGATGCGCGGAAATGGAAAAACACGTGGACACAAGGAGATTGACACAGATGGTCATAGACACAGGGGCACGTGGACACGCAAACGCTCGCACATGCGGACACGCAAACACGCTACGCTTGCCTCCGCTGTGAGCCACGTGATCACGTGATCCGGTGATTCTGCTGCTGCTGCTGCGTCGGCAGTGGTGTAGAAGCCGGTCAATAGAACAACTCTACCGCGTCCGGCAGCACCCCACACCGTGATTTGTGATTTTTCTGTTCAAATTTGCACGAGTGATTTTGCACAGTAGGCGGCTGATTCACGTGCTATGAATCCGCACCTTCGATTAGCACCACAGTGGCTCGGAGATGTTGACTACCTCGCCTGGCACGCAGGATGTCGTGGGTTCAATCCCGACCCTGCTGCTGCTGCTGTATATTTGGAGTTTGCGTCTCTCTCTCCCCGTGATCGCCTGATCTTCCGGTTTCTCCCTCCACACTTCGAAGCGACGTCACGCGTTTCTAAGTTTCCACAACATGATGATAAGGCACTTTCGTTGAGCTATCATTTGCGATCACCAGATCGCTTCTGAGAAAGAGCTACGCTGCTCAGTGCGGCCTTGCCTGGTAAAATAAAAAAACTAATAACACGGTTGGCTACGTACGGTGCAAATTAAGTTCAGCGTACATACACACATAAACACGTGCCATTGCTCGAGATGTCGCCCATCTTACAGTCTACCGATCCTGCTGACAAAGACAAAGATCCCCTGTGTAGCCTTAGACGGTCGGGGCAAGTGCTGTTAGCGAGTAGCACCTATGAAGGCCGGCACGGCACACGAGGGGGTGGGTGGCCAACACCACGCCCGACCGCCTTTGTCTCCCTGGTGGCGATGATTTTACACACCGCACCAGGTACTCATTTGAGGCTGAGTCGACCTAGGGGAGGCCCAGGACCGGTTAAAATAATCATCACCCGGTGGTATTGGATGTAAGTGGGAATCGGTCGGTGGGTTCGTAGTGTAGCGCACTAACCGCTATACTGCCGCTCCCCCCACACACACACGGACACACACGGACACACACACACGGACACACACGGACACACACACACGGTGCTGTGTTGACACGGAGCGTGTCGACTTGTGAGCTGATTGAACTGCAGGTCGCCGGGTTCGTGATGCCACTCCCGAACCGTTGCGCTCCCGCTCCCCTCCCCAGATGCGACTCGTCGAGTTGTGTATTTATAGAACGTGTTTGTGTCTCCGCACGCCCACGTGCGCACACACACACTCACACACACGCACACGCGCGTATACACACACACGCTAATGTGCACACACACACGCACTCACACACGCACGCACTCACACACACTCAATCGCACACATTCACTCACACACACTCACACGCACACACGCACACGCAGAGCCTGTGCGTGATTGAGAACGACATGGAGAGCCTCCTGGGGGAATTTCACATGCGCATGAAGGGTGAGTTCCACACGCAGCTCCTACCCCCCCCCTCCCCACTGCTCCTCCGACAGGGTGCGTCGCGGCCGTGTCGGAGGCGGTGACGTCCCGGGTTCGAGGCCTGGCTTTAGAGCAGATGTCGCAAACGAGTTTTGATTCCTTACCCATACCCGTACCTGGCCGGGTACGGGTACCCGTTCCCTACCCGTACCCGGCCCGAAATGAGTGACAAACAGCTACTCACCAGTGACTCACGGCCTACCCGTACCCGGCCGCACCAGGGTCGCAAACCGCACACGAGGGGGTGGGTGGCCAGCACCACGCCCGACCGCCTTTGTCTCCCCGGTGGCAATGTTTATTACACACCGCACCAGGTACTCATTTAAGGCTGAGTCGACTTAGGGGAGGCCCAGGACCGTTTCAGATAATCGTCACCGCTGGTGGCCGTGATCGGGAATCTACCACCGGTCACCGAGTTCGTTACGCAGCGTGGCGCTAACCGCTGCACCACCGCTCCCCACACACGCACTCTGCAGCACAAGGCGATCAGGCGAGCGCTGTGCCGGCCTTCACAGGTGCTACTTGCTAACAGCACTTGCCCCAACAGTCTGTTAGGTCTACACGGGGCGGAGGGGGGGGGGATCTTTGTGTCCGTCATGACGATGTTGACTCTACGCCGCATCTTTTGTCTCCAGGATTGGCCGGGTTCGCGCGCCTCTGCCCCGGAGATCAGTATGAGGTGAGCGTCGTCATCGTCATCACCGTCATCATCGTCGTCGTCATCACCGCTGTTACCGTTCCGCTTGTTTTCCTGGTTCTCCCCGCCCTCCCGCCCGGTTCTGCATGGGGGAGTTCTCCGGGTTTGCTGCCTCCCGTCGTGGAACTGGGATTAGCCGGTGCAGCGACAGTTCTACATCGCCATATACACACGCAGGCACACGCAGGCACACACGCACACACACGCAGGCACACGCACGCAGTGCCACCGCTCTCGGGCCAAAACATCGCAAAAGTTCAAACGTTGGCGACAGCGGCAGCAGCAGCAGGCAGCGGCGGCAGCAGCAGCAGGCAGCAGCAGCAGGCAGCGGCAGCAGGCAGCGTGGCGCTACTACTCCTGAGAAAACTTGGCAGGACCCTCCTGAGGCAAACAAGCAGTGGCGAGGAGATGTTAACTACCTCGCCTAGTATACAGGAGGTCGTGGGTTCGATCCTGACCCTAACTCCTGCTGCTGCTGTATATTTGGAGTTTGTGTCTCTCTGCCTGTGGTCACGTATTATTTTTCTCCGGTTTTTCCCTCCACATTTAGAATCAACGTCACTTTGTTGGGCTGTCATTTGTGGCGAGGGCACTCCTGAAAATAGCTTCATAGCTCGGTGAGGCCTTACCGGGTCAAATAAAAATAGTTTAGTTTGAGTTTATCGTGTGCGTGTATGCGTGTGTGCGTGTGTGTGTGCGTGTATGTGCGTGTGTGTGCGTGTGTGTGTGCGTGTGTGTGTGTGCGTGTGTGTGTGCGTGTATGTGTGTGCGTGTGCGTGTGTGTGTGCGTGTGTGTGCGTGTGTGTGCGTGTATGTGCGTGTGTGTGTGCGTGTATGTGTGCCGTACGTGGTATGGGTAGCGGTGGCACAGTGGTTACCGCCACGCTGCGCTACGAACCTGGCCACCCGAGTTCGATTCCCGCTCGCGGCCACCAACACCGGTGACGATTATCTGAACCGGTCCTGGACCCTCCCCTAGGTCGACTCAGCCTCAAATGAGTACCTGGTGTGGCGTGTAGTAAACATCGCCACTGGGGAGACAAAGGCAGCCTGATGTGGTGCTGGCCACCCACCCCCTCGTGTGCCGTGACGGCCTTTGTAGGTGCTGCTCGCTAACAGCACTTGCCCCGACAGTCTGTTAAGGCTACACGGGGGATCTTTGTCTCGTGTTCCAGATCTTCATGCGCTATGGGCGTCAGCGCTGGAGGCTCCGCGGACGCATCGACTCGGATGACAAGCAGAGCTGGGACAGCGAGGAGACGCTGCTGGTGCCTCTGATCTCCGACTTGCTCCACATCAAGGTGACACGCTGCACTGGAGCAACATCAGCAGCAGCAGCCTCATCAGCAGTGGCAACAGTCTAATCAGCAGCATCATCATCATCAGCAGCAGCAGCTTTTTCAGAAGCGGCATCAGTAGAAGCGCTTTCATTATCACCATCAGTAGCAGCATCGTCATCAGCACTAACAGCAGCAGCAGCATCATCAGCAGCAGCAGCGCTATCATCATCAGCAGCAGTAACTTATTTAGGAGCAGCATCAGTAGAAGTGATTTCATCATTATCACCATCAGCAGCAGCATCATCATCATCAGCACTAGCAGCAGCATCATCATCAGCACTAGCAGCATCATCATTATCAGCACTATTAGCATCATCATCAGCAGCAGCGCTATCAGCATCATCAGTAGCAGCACTGTCATCAGCATCGGCACTGTCATCATCATCAACGGCAGCAGCAGCAGCGGCGATATCGTCGTCGTCATCGTCAGTAGTGGCGGTAGCAGCGCCATCGTCGCCACCACCCTCGGCGGTCATAGCGTGTCCAGACTGGACCTCCACCAAAGGGTTGTGTGGTTTGTCAACGTCATCGCTGCGACCGTTGCTCCTCCACCCTTGTGGGACCTCACCAGCAGTCCCCCCGGGGCCGGTGTTGCCCCCCCCCCCCGGTGTCGCCGCCCCCAGGTGACGGAGGTCAAGAGCCTGGCCACTCACGTGGTGGTGGGCAGCGTCGTGTGCGAGACGCGGGACCTCCTCGCCGTGGGGCCCCAGCTCGTAGCGGTCGACATCAACGACCTGGGAACCATCAAACTCAACCTGGAGGTCACCTGGAGGTGAGCTCCAGGAGATGGGGATTCAGGATCGGAGTCCTGAGACTCGGCTCCAGGAGATCGGGATTCAGGATCGGAGTCCTGAGACTCGGTTCTAGGAGATTGGGATTCAGGATCGGAGTCCTGAGACTCGATTCTAGGAGATCGGGATTCAGGATCGGAGTCCTGAGACTCGGCTCCAGGAGATCGGGATTCAGGATCGGAGTCCTGAGACTCGATTCTAGGAGATCGGGATTCAGGATCGGAGTCCTGAGACTCGGTTCTAGGAGATTGGGATTCAGGATCGGAGTCCTGAGACTCGGCTCCAGGAGATCGGGATTCAGGATCGGAGTCTTGAGACTCGGTTCTAGGAGATCGGGATTCAGGATTGGAGTCTTGAGACTCGGTTCTAGGAGATTGGGATTCAGGATTGGAGTCCTGAGACTCGGTTCTAGGAGATTGGGATTCAGGATTGGAGTCTTGAGACTCGGTTCTAGGAGATTGGGATTCAGGATTGGAGTCTTGAGACTCGGTTCTAGGAGATTGGGATTCAGGATTGGAGTCTTGAGACTCGATTCTAGGAGATTGGGATTCAGGATCGGAGTCCTGAGACTCGGTTCTAGGAGATTGGGATTCAGGATCGGAGTCTTGAGACTCGGTTCGAGGAGATTGGGATTCAGGATCGGAGTCTTGAGACTCGGCTCCAGGAGATTGGGATTCAGGATCGGAGTCTTGAGACGCGGTTCGAGGAGATTGGGATTCAGGATCGGAGTCCTGAGACTCGGTTCTAGGAGATTGGGATTCAGGATTGGAGTCCTGAGACTCGGTTCTAGGAGATCGGGATTCAGGATTGGAGTCTTGAGACTCGGTTCTAGGAGATTGGGATTCAGGATTGGAGTCCTGAGACTCGGTTCTAGGAGATTGGGATTCAGGATCGGAGTCCTGAGACTCGGTTCTAGGAGATTGGGATTCAGGATCGGAGTCCTGAGACTCGGTTCTAGGAGATTGGGATTCAGGATTGGAGTCCTGAGACTCGGTTCTAGGAGATCGGGATTCAGGATCGGAGTCTTGAGACTCGGTTCTAGGAGATTGGGATTCAGGATCGGAGTCCTGAGACTCGGTTCTAGGAGATTGGGATTCAGGATCGGAGTCCTGAGACTCGGTTCTAGGAGATTGGGATTCAGGATTGGAGTCTTGAGACTCGATTCTAGGAGATTGGGATTCAGGATCGGAGTCCTGAGACTCGGTTCTAGGAGATTGGGATTCAGGATCGGAGTCTTGAGACTCGGTTCTAGGAGATTGGGATTCAGGATTGGAGTCTTGAGACTCGATTCTAGGAGATTGGGATTCAGGATTGGAGTCCTGAGACTCGGTTCTAGGAGATTGGGATTCAGGATCGGAGTCCTGAGACTCGGTTCTAGGAGATTGGGATTCAGGATCGGAGTCTTGAGACTCGGTTCGAGGAGATTGGGATTCAGGATCGGAGTCCTGAGACGCGGTTCTAGGAGATTGGGATTCAGGATCGGAGTCCTGAGACTCGGTTCGAGGAGATTGGGATTCAGGATCGGAGTCTTGAGACTCGGCTCCAGGAGATTGGGATTCAGGATCGGAGTCTTGAGACGCGGTTCGAGGAGATTGGGATTCAGGATCGGAGTCCTGAGACTCGGTTCTAGGAGATTGGGATTCAGGATCGGAGTCCTGAGACTCGGTTCTAGGAGATTGGGATTCAGGATCGGAGTCCTGAGACTCGGTTCCGGAGATCGGGATCAGGATCGGAGTTTGAGACTCGGTCTAGGAGATTGGGATTCAGGATCGGAGTCCTGAGACTCGATTCTAGGAGATCGGCGATTCAGGATCGGAGTCCTGAGTACTCGGTTTTCTAGGAGATCGGAGATCGGATCGGATCCTGAGACTCGGCTCCAGGAAATCGGGATTCCAGGTCGAGTCCTGAGACTCGGTTCTAGGAGATTGGGATTCAGGACGGAGTCCTGAGACTCGGCTCCAGGAGATCGGGATTCAGGATCGGAGTCCTGAGACCGGTTCGAGGAGATTGGGATTCAGGATCGGAGTCCTGAGACTCGGTTCTAGGAGATTGGGATTCAGGATCGGAAGTTCCTGAGACTCGGCTTCCAGGAGATCGGGATTCAGGATCGGAGTCCTGAGACTCGGTTCGAGGAGATTGGGATTCAGGATCGGAGTCTTGAGACTCGGTTCGAGGAGATTGGGATTCAGGATTGGATTCCCGTGACCCGTGTCCCCACCCCCTATAACACCCCACCCCTCCCACCCGCCCCCCCGCCCCTCCCCCCTCCCCCCCCCGCCCCTCCCCCCCCCCGCCCCTCCCCCCCCCCCGCCCCTCCCCCCCCCCCGCCCCTCCCCTGCACAGTCCCTTTGACAAGGAGGACCAGGCGATGACTCCGGGCACCATCGGCAAGATGTCTGCCGCCAGCAAGAGGCTGTCGCTGTACAGCCAGAGCCCGCCTGACACACCGTCCCTACGCGAACAGGCCTTCTACGTGAGCACGCGGCGTTACACCGCTACACCACACCGCTACGCCACACCGCTACACTTCACCGCTACGTTACACCGCTACGTTACACCGCTACACCACACCGCTACGTTACACCGCTACGCCACACCGCTACGCTCCACCGCTACACCACACCGCTACGTTACACCGCTACGCTACACCGCTACGTTACACCGCTACACCACACCGCTACGTTACACCGCTACACTACACCGCTACACCACACCGCTACGCCCTACCGCTACACTCCACTACGACGCTCCACCACGACGTTCCACCGCTACGCCGCTACGCTCAACCACGACGCTATCCCGCTACGTTACACCGCTACACTCCACCACGCATGCAACCGGCAACAACGCCTGCCACAACTTCAGCCACCAACGTGGGGCAACATCGCAGGCAAATGCAGGCCTGGTTCTTGACCCCTGGGCCCGAGGTCCCGGCGGCACGAGTGCGCCACTTTGCGACGTAACTCGACGCCAGGTCGGCAGAGGTGGTCGCGTGGCTCACAGGTCAGGTCGGGCGTAGGCCGCGTGATTTGGTGATGGGCTCATCACGACGACGCAGTTGCGATTGTAATCGACGTTCCCCTCTACCCCCCCCCCCGCGCTCTCCTTTCGCAGTGGCCGGCACTCAAATCGTCGTGTACGTGGCTCTGCCCGCTAATTCGCTCCGTATGTTTCCGTTCGCTCGCAGAACATGCTGCGTCGTCACGACGAGCTGGAGAACGGAGCCACCTCCTCGCTCTCGTCGGACTCCATGGACGGCTCCGTGAGTCCCCGGACTCCGCTCGACGCCGGCACCAGCAGCCGACGGCGTCCGATCCCTGAGTACCAACTCCCGATCCCGGAGTACGAAGCCCCGGGTCTCGGTTCCGGACGCGAGCCGGAAACTCCGTCCTCTGCCACCGCCGCCGTCGATGACGTTTCCTCCCCGAGCGAGCGGCGGGTGGAGAACGGCGAGCCGGAGCCTTGCGAGCCGCCCCGCGCCGACGGCTCACCGCCGCCGCCGCCGCCGCCGCCGGACGAGATGGAGCGTGCGACGAAGCCGGTCGTGGGCAACTGGCGTCCCGGCGTACGGCCGCGCGCTCAGCCAGATCAGCGAGGGGAGCGTGGACTCGCTGGAAGAGCACGGCGGGGCGGGGGGAAGTGTCGGTGAGGCTGCGGCGGTTGCGGTGGCCGCGGGAGACGGCGAGGATTGGCCGGCCGAGGGAGGAGCGGCGGAGGAGGCAGCCGAGGCTTTGGAAGCCGGGGGAAGCGACGGTCCGCGGGAGGACGTGGAACCGGCGCTCGCCCCGGCGAAACTGGCAGTCGTCCCGGCGGAACCGGCGGTCGCCTCGGACCGAGGAGCGGAGGCCGCAACCGAGGACGCCGGCGTGGGCGACGTCACGGCCGGCGGGAGCTGCTCCTCGCTGAGACGCTCGCCGGCGCGCGGCGACGGAGCGTTGGGCCGCGAGCCCAGACCGGGCAAGGACGGCCTGCTGCTGAGCGCCAACGCCAGCGAGATTTTCTTCACCGACAAATCAAAGGACGTCGTGCATTTCTTCAACGCCGCGGTCGTGCCGTGTGATGACGACGACGACGACGACGACGCCGACTCGAACGGCGCCAAAGATTCCCGCCGAGACGAGACGACGGCCGTGGGCGATCGCATCGCCGTCTCACCTCCCGGGGTCGCCTTGCCGAACCAAAGAAACCTCGGGGCCGGCCGAGCAGGTCAGGCCCGCCCCCTCGCCCGCCCCCTCGCCCGCCCCCTCGCCCGAGCCGGGGGCGGCGAGCGCGGGGGAGGATTCGGGCGAGCGGCTAGGAGGACCGGGCCTCGAGCGGGCCTGGCAGGCGCTGTGCTCGGCGCTGGACGACTGCAGGGGCCGCTACGCGGAGCTGCAGCTGCTGGAGCAGGAGGTTGCCGACCTGGATCGCATTCTGCAGGTTGGTGCGCTCGCGAGGGACGCGTGGTCATTCGCTCCATTCGGGTGGTGCGGGGGCGGGGGTGGGGTCGGCACCGCACTGCACCGTGGTGGTGAATATCAGATTGTGACGGTCCCTTCATAGATAATGGTCACGGGGCAGCAGGTTGACTATCCTTGTCCATGGTGAACTGGACGACTTCCGTGGTCAGCTAACAAAAAGAGACATTTTTTGTTTCAAGAGGCACCACCGCACGCGGCTCCGGTAGCCGCGAGTTTGCCGACTCCCCCCCCTCCCCCCCCCCTGGGGTCTCGTGAAGGGGCTGTCACCGCCGCTGCGCGTCACGGACACGTAGCTGCGGTGGGGGGGGCGGGGGTGACGTTGCCTCGTGGCTCTATCCGATATCATCGCTGTCAACCCCTTGTCAGTGCCCTACCTTATTACAGACCAATTCAGATCTCTACAAAGTCCCATCACAAGGGAGAAATGCAAACAAATAGACAACACATTTTTTTTTTTGTGGCCCGTATTGAAACGGCTGTACGCCATATGGACCTGTAAACTAAATCTCCCTGTACCAGAATGCGCGGTAAACCGTGTGGGTTGACGGCAATGCAATGGGGTCGTCGCATGGATTTTTCTCGCCGGGTCCTCCGATTTTTCCCCCTCCGCGTCTGGAATCGGTGTCCGCTCGTTTCGAGTATTTGCCCGCCGCCGCTGCCTCTGCCGCCGCTACAAATGTCCACGTGGTGGCGGCGAGGCCGCTTCAGTTGAGCCGCCGTTTGCCGTTTGTTCGTTTGACGCTCTCAACCGCCACGGGCCGCGACGCAGCCGGGCGGGAAGGTGTCACGGAGTCGCGCGTCCAGCGTCAGCCTCTCGGTGGAGCACGCCCTGGAGAGTTTCAACTTCCTCCACTCGCCCGACCTGGACGACGAGGAGATGGAGCAGGACGCGGAGGAGGAGGCGGAGCGCCACCGTGAGGCTGCGGAGTCGGACGGCAAGTGAGTTCACGGATCCGTCGACATCCTGAACGCCGCGGACGCTGAACGGCTGATCCACAACATTTGTTTTGTCGCGCGTCGGCTGCTGCAATGCCCTGCAGTATGTTCACAATGCGCCCGCCAGGGTGCTAACTGGTACACGACCCTTGAAGGATCACGTCGCATACCCGTGCTGCTGTCCCTTCACTGGCTCCTGTCCGTACCCCCGCGATAGATTTTAAGATTCTCTAGCTGGCATTTTAAGGGCCTTTAAATGGACTCGCTTCCTCCTTTAAGCCACGTAATATTCCAGCAAGATCGCTACGATCCTCGGAGTGTGCATTGTTCGCTGTCCCACGGCCTCTAGGCTTCGCACTTCGGGTGACGACGGTGCCTTGGCAGTAGCGCGAACCCCGAGACACTCTACTACAAATCTTCAAATCTCGACGAAAAACTCATTTGTTTAAAAATGTATTTCTCTCCCTCTCTCTTTAGTATATTCAACCGTCTGTCTCACTTTCTTCTTTACTTGGCTGACGTTAAGCTATTTTCCGCCTTTCCACGCACAAGCGCCCTGAGAAGGTCAACACACGTATTACACATAGACTCAACACTACCCATAGACTCAACACTACCCATAGACTCAACACTACATATAGACTCAACACTACCCATAGACTCAACACTACCCATAGACTCAACACTACCCATAGACTAACACTACCCATAGACTCAACACTACCCATAGACTCAACACTACCCATAGACTCAACACTACCCATAGACTCAACACTGCCCATAGACTCAACACTACCCATAGACTCAACACTGCCCCATAGACTAACACTACCCATAGACTAACACTACCCATAGACTAACACTACCCATAGACTCAACACTACCCATAGACTAACACTACCCATAGACTCAACACCGCACCTCCAATTAGCGCGGTTGGCTACGTACGGTGCGAAAGAAGTTCAACATTCATATGTTTGTATTGAGCGTGGCGGATAACCATTGCGGATGTGGTGGTGGGCCTGGACTTTAGGTATCTATCTATCTTCATGTATATATCATGATTTTGTCAATAACAGGCGGCAAGGCGACGTTGAGGTGGAGGCGGTGGTGGTGGCTACCGGCGACGGCGCGGAGCTCGGCACCGGCGCCCCGACCACCGGCAGCGAGGGCCTCGACGTGGCCTTGGCTCTGCACGCGGATTACTGCACCCACCTCGTCATGGTGTGTGCACGCACGCGACTGTGCGTGTGTGTGTGCACGCGTGTGTGTGTGTGCGCACGTGTGCGTGCGTTGGGAGAGCGGTCGTGTCGCGGTTAGCGGGCTGCGCCACAAACCCGATCACCCGAGTTCGATTCCCGCTCACGGCCAACACCAGTGACGAACCGGTCCTGGGCCTCCCCTGGCTCGACTCCGCCTCAAATGAGTACCTGGTGCGGTGTGTAGTAAACATCGTCACTGGGGAGACAAAGGCGGCCGGCAGTGGTGCTGGCCACCCACCCCCTCTCGTGCCATTCCGGCCTTCATAGGTGCTCGCTAACAGCACTTGCCCCAACAGTCTGTGTGCCGATGCCTCTGTGTGTCCACCCCGCCGTGTGTACGTATACTGCCGTATGTCCACCCCGCCGTGTGTAGAAGCTCGGCACGTTTGGGCCCCTGCGCTGCGGGGAGCTGTGCGCCCTCGACCGCCTGCACGGCCAGGCGGCCGTGCTGCGGCGAATCGCGGAGCTCACGCGAGACTTGTGCGACGGGCAGATCCTGAGCATCGCACGCGGTACGCACCAGCCAGTAGCGTCGCACGGCCGCCCCCATCCCATCATGCAATGCAGCCACACCCCTATACCACCATTCACTACAGCCGCCCCTTTCCCATCATGCACTGAGGCCGCGCCTATCCCATCATGCACTGTGGCCACCTCTATCCCATCATGCACTGTGGCCACCTCTATCCCATCATGCACTGCAGCCACCCCTATCCCATCATGCACCAAGGCTGCCCGTATCCCATCATGCACTGCAGCCACCCCTGTCCCATCATGCAACAAGGCCGCCCTTATCCCATCATGCACTGCAGCCACCCCTATCCCATCATGCACTGCAGCTGCCCCTATCCCATCATGCACCGAGGCCGCCCCTATCCCATCATGTCCTACCGCCGACCTGATCCCATCATAAATTACAGCTGCCCCTGTCTCATAATGCATCATGACGATGCTTTCCTTTTCCCCTCCCGTGACGTGTTGCCCCCCCCCCTCTGCCCCCCCCTCTGCCCCCCCCTCTGCCCCCCCCCTCTGCCCCCCCCCCACGTTGCGGTGCAGCGGTGCCCGAGCTGTGTGAGCGCGAGTGCGTGCTGCGCTTCTGGGAGCGCGTCGCCGAGCCGGGGGGAGCACAGCTGTGCGCCACGGCGGAGCGGCTCGCCGCCACCGTGTCGTCCGACTACTCGGAGACGCTGGCGCACACGGACGCAGGTGAGACGCACACGCGTGTGTGTGTGCGTGAGTTAGTGAGACCGCCACGTGCGCGTGTGTGTGTGTGCGCGAGTTAGTGAGACCGCCGCGCGCGCGCGTGCATATGTGTGTGAGTTGGTGAGACCGCCGCGTGCGCGTGTGTGTGTGCGCGAGTTGGTGAGACCGCCGCGTGCGCGCGTGTGTGTGCGCAAGTTGGTGAGACCGCCGCGTGCGTGCGTTGAGTGACCGCGGGTCGCCGGGTTTACCACCGCGCCACCGCTACCCGTGCCACGTACAGAGACGCACAAACACGCACACTCCACCTTAAACTACTCAACTATTGTATTTCACCGGGTAAGTCCCACCGAGCTTTGTAGCTCTTTTTTTCAGAAGCAAGCGAACCGCCACGCTGCCGCTCGATTGCCACTCACGGCCACGACTACCGGTGGCAATTATCTGAACCCAGTGCTGGGCCTCCCGTAGGTCAACTCGGCCTTAAACGAGTCCTCGCTGCGGTGTGTAAAACATCAGCGCTGGGGGAGACAAAGGCGGCCGGGCGCGGCGCTGGCCACCCACCCCCCCTCGTGTGCCACGGTGCCGGCGCTCGCAGGCGCTGCTACTCGCTAACAGCACTTGCCCCGACAGTCTGTTAAGGCCACACGGGGGATCTTTGCCTTTGTCAGTGTGCGTGCGCCTGCTGGAGCGGCTGCTGGGCCGCCGCGTGCGTCGCCTGCGCTCGTGTGCGCCCGCGCGCGTCACCGCGTTCCAGCTGGCGGCGCTAGCGCAGCAGCACGACGTGCGGACCATGGACTCCTTCATCACCCGGCTGGGGCACGAGGGTACGGGAAATACAGACACTCAGAGATACACAGAGACTCGGAGATACTCATACAGATACACAGATACACAGAGACTCACACAGATACACAGATACACAGAGATACTCATACAGATACACAGATACTCAGAGACTCACACAGATACACAGATACACAGAGATACTCGTACAGATACACAGAGACTCGGAGATACTCATACAGATACACAGATACACAGAGACTCACACAGATACACAGATACTCAGAGATACTCGTACAGATACACAGAGATTCAGGGATACTCATACAGATACACAAACACTCAGAGATACTCGTACAGATACACAGATACTCAGAGATACTCATACAGACACTCAGAGATACTCATACAGATACACAGACTCAGAGATACTCATACAGATAGACAGAGACTCATAGAGATAGACAGAGACTTGGCTGGAAAGCGGTGAAAATAATCTGTCGTTGAATCGAATTGCGCATCGACACGACCAAGTGGACTCGTGATTTGCTCGCTCTGTCGGCCCCCCCCACCCCCCCTTCCTCTGCCCCCCCCACCCCCTCCTGCCTCTGCCCCCCCCACCCCCTCCTCCTTCCTCTGCCCCCCCCACCCCCTCCTCCTTCCTCTGCCCCCCCCACCCCCCCTTCCTCTGCCCCCCCCACCCCCTTCCTCCTCCTTCCTCTGCCCCCCCACCCCCCTCCTTCCTCTGCCCCCCCCACCCCCCTCCTCCTCCTTCCTCTGCCCCCCCCCACCCCCCTCCTGCCTCTGCCCCCCCCACCCCCTCCTCCTTCCTCTGCCCCCCCCACCCCCCTCCTTCCTCTGCCCCCCCACCCCCCTCCTCCTCCTTCCTCTGCCCCCCCCCACCCCCCTCCTGCCTCTGCCCCCCCCACCCCCTCCTCCTTCCTCTGCCCCCCCACCCCCTCCTCCTTCCTCTGCCCCCCCCACCCCCCTCCTTCCTCTGCCCCCCCCACCCCCTCCTCCTTGCTCTGCCCCCCACCCCCCTCCTTCCTCTGCCCCCCCCACCCCCCTCCTTCCTCTGCCCCCCCCACCCCCCTCCTCCTTGCTCTGCCCCCCCCACCCCCCTCCTTCCTCTGCCCCCCCACCCCCCTCCTTCCTCTGCCCCCCCCACCCCCCTCCTCCTTGCTCTGCCCCCCCCACCCCCCTCCTTCCTCTGCCCCCCCACCCCCTCCTCCTTCCTCTGCCCCCCCCACCCCCCCTCCTTCCTCTGCCCCCCCCCACCCCCTCCTCCTTGCTCTGCCCCCTACCCCCCACCTTCCTCTGCCCCCCCCCACCCCCCTCCTGCCTCTGCCCCCCCCCACCCCCCTCCTGCCTCTGCCCCCCCCCACCCCCCTCCTCCTCCTGCCTCTGCCCCCCCCTCCTCCTCTTTCCTCTGCCCCCCCCCACCCCCCTCCTGCCTCTGCCCCCCCCCACCCCCCTCCTGCCTCTGCCCCCCCCCACCCCCCTCCTCCTCCTGCCTCTGCCCCCCCTCCTCCTCTTTCCTCTGCCCCCCCCCCCCACCCCCCTCCTTCCTCTGCCCCCCCCCACCCCCCTCCTGCCTCTGCCCCCCCCAACCCCCCTCCTCCTCTTTCCTCTGCCCCCCCCCCCCACCCCCCTCCTTCCTCTGCCCCCCCCACCCCCCTCCTGCCTCTGCCCCCCCCACCCCCCTCCTCCTCTTTCCTCTGCCCCCCCCCCCACCCCCCTCCTGCCTCTGCCCCCCACCGCCGCCCTCCCAGTGTCCCTTGCGGCGTCGCTGGAGTCGCACGACCGCAGCGAGGTCCTGCGTGGGCTCAAGCGTCTCGCCGGGTCGGACGCGGCCGCCCCTCCGCGCCTGACGGTGGCCAACATGACGTCCCTCGCGCCGCTCCTATTGGACAGCGACGCCAAGATCAGCCAATCGGCGGCGACGATACTCAGGAGGGCGGCGAGCGAGGCGCCGCTCCGAGAGAAGGTGATCACTCTGCAATGAAAGTGTTAAGCTGTCAATTATGCTTTTACTTTACCAGCTGTAAGGCCCCACTGAGCTATGAGGCTCTTTCTCAGAAGTGACCTGGCCATCGCAAATGATTCATCGTCGTCATCATCGTCACGTGGACATTAATAGCAGCAGCCAAATACTCTAAACGTGGGAAGTTGATTCTAAATGTGGAGGGAAAATGCGGAGGAGCCGGACAGAAATCCACGCGAACACGAGGAGAGAGACACACAGCAGACTCCAATACAGCAGACGTCAGGGTCGGGATCGAACCCACGACCTCCTGCATACCAGGCGAGGTAGTCAACATCTCCTAGCCACCGTGATGATGATGAGAGAGAGACACACAAACTCCAATACAGCAGGCGTCAGGGTCGGGATCGAACCCACGACATCCTGCACACCAGGCGAGGAAGTTAAAGTCTCCTAGCCACCGCCACGCCCATGAAGAGGGGGACATTGCCAGAAACGACGCCTGCCGTATTTATATTAACGTATAAATGTCTTCAAAGTTTTCCCTTTCAGAGCCCCAAGGTGGCTCAGCGGCAGAGCGAGCGGCTCCCAATCGCAAAGGTCGCGAGTTCAAATCCTGGTTGTGGTTTCACTCCACCCATCATCATCATCATCACCATCATCACCCCTCCAGGGTCGATGAATAAGTACCACTTTGTGATGATGACAATTTGCGTTCGGTAGAGCCGTGTGCCCTCCTTCGCACGGTGACGTCTCGGGCGATAAGCAACTTGCACCTCATCGCACCTCAACACATTGGAAGGGCACCCCCAGTGGCAGCTGTCCCTGTGTGGCACAAGGTGCCCTCGGCACTTGGTCTGCAAGCGGGCACATCAGTCTCGGGCGGGCGCGGCGCTGGCCACCCACCCCTTCGTGCGCCCTGCCGGCCTTCATAGGTGCTGCTACTCGCTAACAGCACTTGCCCCGACAATCTGTTAAGGCTACACGGGGGGGGGATCTTTGTCTTTGTGCGTGTGAACAGGTGGTGGTTTGGTGTCTGCAGCTTCTGGAAGAGGAGGATGAGATCCTGAGACGAGCTGGTTGTGCAGCACTGGCTTGCCTGCAGGTGAACACACACACAAAGACAAAGATCCCCCGTGTAGCCTTAACAGACTGTAGGGGCAAGTGCTGTTAGCAAGCACCTATGAAGGCCTGAACGGTACACGAGGGGGTGGGTGGCCAGCACCACGCCCGGCCGCCTTTGTCGCGATGTTTACACATTGCACCAGGTACTCATTTGAGGGACAACAACAACAACAACCGCCATTCGCCACTAAGTGGCGGTGACGTCACCACGATGCTTGTGCCAGGCCAAGTGCACCTTGAGGCCACGTGAAGTGTCGAAAGCCCGCTGACAGGAGGTCACGGGGCAGACCCAGGTGCCACGGGTCGACTGACCGAGATGACCGAGATGACTGGCTGATGCACCACCTGTGCCCCCTACTGTGCCGACTTGCTGTGCTTTAGCCACCCGGCGCTCCGCTCGTTGTTGTGAGCGTCGCTCCTCCGCCCTCCGTTGTTGTTGGAGGGCGACTGCCTCCAACTGCCCAGTAGCGTCCTTCACGAGCCTCCTCCACTGAGGCCGATCTTGACACCGCTGGTACCAGTCATCGGCAAGTCCACTCAGCTCCACGTCCTCCTGTACCACATCACTCCATCTCTTCTCCAGCCCGTGCCGCGCCCGTCTAGCCCCCTCGATCCGGCCGAACAAAAGCTGTTTAGGCATTCGGTGGCTGGGCATGCGGGCTACATGACCCAGCCAACGCAGCCTTGCCTGCCGGAGGAGCTCACTGATGGGACTTTGCCCAGATCTTTCAAGGATTTGTGAGCTCCTCACACAATCCAGCCTGGTTAAACCCAGGATGGATCGTAGGCAGGCCAGCCTAAATGTTTCCAACCGGCGAAGATGCTCCACCAGGGGGGTCCACGTCTCGCAAGCGTAGAGAAGGGAGGGAATGACCGTGGCCGAGAAGACCTGAAGCTTCGTGCGGAGCGACAGACCAGGTAGCTTCCACACAGCGTTACGCAACCGATGAAAAGATATTGCCGCTCGACTGATTCGGAGTGAGACCTCTGCTGATAGACTGGAGCCGGTCATAAGCACACTGCCCAGGTATGGGAAACTCTCCACTCTCTCCACAACTGCCCCATCACCAATTGGGAGTTGTGGGGGTGGAGTGTCCGATGGTACAAAATACCCAGGCAGGTGCTTAGTTTTGGTGGGGCTGATGGTAAGGCCCCACCTCTTAGTGGCACGCTCCAGTCTCAGCAGCAGCATCTCCAACTCCTCTTCTGAATGAGCAGCTATTACCAAATCATCGGCATACATAACATGGTTGACCAATAGGGAGCCATCCCTTGATCGCACCCGGGCGTCGATCAGCCTCCCATTATATCTGTACCAAATGGAAATTCCCCCGGTACAGCTATTGAGGGCTTCACGAACTACGCGGTCAAAATAGATGTTAAATAATGTGGGAGCCAGAGGACATCCCTGTCGCACCCCAAGGTGTACAGGGAAAGGCTCCGACTCCCGGCCACGTAGTTTTACCCGGGCCCGCTCACCATCATGAAGGTCCTTAATGATCGTTAGCAGAGGGTCAGGGACTCCGAAAGCACGAAGAACAACCCAGAGCCCAGTCCTACTGATGGTATCATAGGCCTTGACCAGGTCAATAAAGCAGAGATGTAGGTCTTTTTGGAATTCCCTACACCTCTGCTGTAGTAGACGGACAGAAAATATGGCATCTGTGCAGGACCGCCCTTTCCTGAAACCGCATTGGGGCTCCGCAAGCCTCTCCTCAGCGTGCCTAGCAAGGCGATGTTGAATAATCCTTGCCAGGACCTTACCCGGCACACTGAGGAGTGAGATGCCCCTTTAGTTGTTACAGTCGGTACGGTCCCCCTTCTTAAAGAGGGGGACCACCAGGGCATCCTTCCAGTCCTGCGGAACCCGTCCAGTGGTCCAGACTGTTGTTATGATGTCATATAGGGCAGTCTGTGCACAAACGCCACCCTCCCTCAGCATTTCGCTTGGGAGATCATCTCTGCCCGATGCCTTCCCTGGTCTCAGACTCCGGATTGCCCTCAGTACTTCCTCAACAGCTGGCACCTCAGCCAGCCACTCACAGGGGGTGACCTCTTCCAATATTTGAGGCACCGCAGCCTCAGCAGGGTTATCACCACTTTGTGCCATGATGTTTTCCTGGCTGAGAGAATTTCCCTCCCCCAGGACCTCACAGAAATGCTCAGCAAATCTGCAAACCTGTTCCTGGGGGTCGGAGATTGGATCACCGTTTTTTCCTCTAATGATGGTAATAGGTGTGGCGCTGCAGGTTACTTTTTTGATGGAGTTAAATAGTGATTTGTGATCACGGGCCACTGAGGCAGACTCCATCTCCTCAGCAACCCGCGACCACCACCCATCCTTACAGCGCCTTACGGCTCTCCGAACTTCCGAGCGAAGGCTGCGGTAAACCTCCTCATTCTCTGACGTGGGATGCTGTAGGCGATGAGAGTGGGCCTGACGCTTTTTCTCAATTAACCTGAACACCTCCTCTGTCAGCCAGGGTTTCTGGGGAGGTCTGGACCGCGTACCCAAAGCAGCCATTGCAGCTGCATGAGTCACAGTCTTAAACCTCGCCCATTTCCCCTCAACATCAGGTGGAGTGGGGGACGATGCCAACCCCAGCTGCAAGCGATGATGAAATTCTTGCTTGCAACTTTCATCAGCTAACTGAGACCAGGCCACTTTTGGTTGGAATGGGATCCTGGGTGTACACCCACCACCGGAGTGGAAGAAAGGCAGGCGCATCTTACAGATGACTAGTCGATGGTCAGAGGACAGATCAGCTCCACGGTAGGTCCTGGTGTCAAGGACATGGGTTCGCATCCGCTGGTCCGTCACTATGTAGTCCAGCAGATGTTCTTGCTTGGACCCGGCATGTATCCATGATGTTGTGTGGATGCGCCGATGCCGGAAGAGCGTGTTGGTAATTACAAGCCCATGGGCTGCACAAAAATCTAGCAGCCTCCTACCGTTATTATTGAGCTGATCTGGCCCATGCCTTCCAATCACTCCAGACCAGGTATCAGCATCATGACCAACTCGGGCATTGAAGTCACCCAACAAGATGACTCTGTCCCGAGTGGCCACTTTAGCCAGCACCTGTGACAGGAGGTCATAGAAAGAGTCTGACTCATCGGCTTTGCCTGCATCCCTCCACGGATGTTCGTCTTCGGTGGGGGCATAAGTAACCACGACCACCACTCCTCGCCTCTGGTTGATGGGAAGGCGAGCCCAAAGTATCCTGGGGCTTACAGCTTCCCACACCTCACCGCCACGCTCCCACGCCCCCTTCATTCTTTTGTTCAGAAGAAGAGCCACACCCTGTTGTTTGGCAGTCTCCTGCCCCGAGTAGAGGACTGTCCACCCCTCATGGTGGCAGGAGCCAGAACCGGTCCACCGGACCTCCTGAATGCCACAGAGATCCAGGCGGTACCGGTCCAGCTCCCGACAGAGGAGTGGCAGCCTCTCCTCCGCAGTGAGCGTTCGAACATTCCACGTGGCCATCCGCAATGGTTTTTTGTTGTTTCTGGAGGAGCCCCGAGGGTGAAAATTCAATCTCCTGGCTCCGCCAAATGGGGTTTGGCCAGGAGACGTCATAAAAGCCTGACCCCCCGGGGCCTCCGGCACAAGCTTATTTGTTACAGGTTTATGTTTAATTCGTGGTTTAGTGGTGGTTAATTGAAGGTGGAGGGGTTACCAGCCCCTCACACCCGTCCAGAGCCCCCGTTTAGCCACTGTGGTGGTCACAGACGCCATGAGGGGAGAGGCCAATGGGCATTGGCCCTCCCCCCACAGCACTGCCCACGACAGTGTTGCCCGTCCGGCACCGCGAGGAGGTAGGAGGTTGTTTTGAGGGACGCACACACACGCACAGACATGCACACACTTGTGTGAGCTTACACACACGTACACGTGAGTTTACACACACATACACACACACACGTGTGAGTTTACACACATACACGTGAGTTTACACACACATACACACACACGTGTGAGTTTACACACATACACACGTGAGTTTACACACCTATGCACACGTGTGAGTTTACACACACATACACACACTTGTGAGTTTACACACACGTACACACACGCGTGAGTTTACACACATACACACACACGCGTGAGTTTACACACGTACACACACGCGTGAGTTTACACACCCATGCACACACACACACGTGCTACACGAGGGGGGGTTCCTTGTCTGTGTGCCCTCACCTAGGCCAAGGAGAGCATGGAGCAGCTCCTGCACCTGTGCCAGGTCGACCAGGAGCCCGTGAAGATCGCGGCCAGGGACGCCATCTTCTCCTTCGGTGAGGCCCCACCGAGCCCCGGCGTTAACCAGGGCGGCCGCTGGTCTTGAACCGACACGTCGCTGTGGCGGGGGGGGGGGGTGGCGGGGGGGGCGGACGGTGGCCGTCGGGTCAGGAATGGCTACGAAGCGGCAGACGCGGCGCAACTGGAGGGACGCGGAGCGTCGAGCGGCGTTCGTGGCACGCGTGGGATGGTGGCACGCGTGGGATGGTGGCACGTGTGGGATGGTGCCACCGTTGCTGCCACGATGGATGTGGGGGGGGGGGGGGGAAGCGTTTATCCGGCAGTGGATCCAGCATGGCCGACGACAATTTTACAACTAATTTATTATTAATCTCATTTCTTTTTTCAGGCAAGGAAGGCCAAGAGGCCTACCGTCGCGCGGAGGAGACCATGGACGGAGTGCGTGGGTTCATAACGCCGGGCGCTCCTCACAAACAGCCGCCCGCGACTTTCTGACCGCGGCGAAGGAGGAGGTGGCGCTGCTCGTGGTGATGACGACGATGCCGACGCCATCGCCGAACCGGCAGCTCGCTGGAGCCACGGCGGCGGCAGCGGGAAAACTGCACGCGGCCGAGGGCCGGCACCCATTGGGGGGGGGGGGGGGGGGGGCTTGTGGGAATTAGTTTTTTTTCATCACAGGTTGTGGGGGGGGGGGGGTGGGGGGGCAGCAGGAGTGAGGAATGGGGTCGATCAAAAAAGAGGGCAGCTCTCTTGGTTAGCCGACAGAAGGGCATGATGACGTGGAACACGTGAGATGACGTGGAACACGTGAGATGACGTGGAACACGTGAGAAACCTTACCGTTAGCGGAGAAGCGGGATGGGCACGGGGGGGGGGGGTGCCAGTGTCGGATTGTGGAAGTATTAACACGCGGCACTGAGCACGATTGTTGGACATCGATGAACGGAAACATCGAGACGAAGAAAAGCGCCGCGTTCTAACGACGGCCTCGCACGCGGAGCCCGCTCGCGCCGTAGTTGCTTCGCCGCGGTGCATTGCAGCGCCGGCGTGCAACCATCGAGCGGCCGACGGATCGCTCGGAGAGGGACTCGTTCGCCGCATTGGCGCGCCCTCGTTGTGGCCTCGGAAGCCGCGTGGGAGCGAGCGGCAGGGAGGGAGGGATGGAGGGGCCCTCTCGCAGAGACGTCCGGAAGGAGGCGCCGACCGTGGCCTTCCGACGGGCGGCAGAGCGAGCCGCGTGTCGGTGCGTGAAATGGGCCGTCCCGTGCGAGGTCGGCTCGGCCTGAAATGAGCGCGGGGCCGGATCGCAAGGCGGCCGCGGCGGCGTCTCTGAAACGTCGCAGGGAAAGGAGAAACAAAGAAATGCACGATTCTTGTTTTGTGGCGAGCGAAGGCGTGGGGGGCGTTCCGCTAGGCCCTCGGCGGACCGGCCCCGTGTGCCGGCGCGACGTTCGGCCTCGGGCCCTTTCAAAAGTAAAAAGCTGCGGTATTCTCCGGATTGCGTGACACGCGGTGATTTCCCTCCGACCTGCCGGAATTTGAAATGACAAAAAACGTTGGGTTGCGCGTCTTATAATGCGGTAGTTGTGAGTGCGTGTGCACTCACGCGCTCGTGCGTGCGTGCGTGTGACCAGACCGGTGTAACTTTATTAATGGGCACGGGGGTGGGGGGGGGGGGTATAAACATTCGAGGTCCGTCCGAATCTCCGGAGCGTTTGCCAATCTGGAGAATACGGCGAGAGAGGAACACAAACAGAGTTGGGTGGAGCTTTCCAAAAACACACAAACACTGAATGCGGATCTCGTCGTCGCCGTTGCCGCCGCCGCCGTTTAGAGAATTTTTGCGACGGCGTTGGTTGCTTTAGGCCCAGGTAACTCTCCGTTATCCGCACACCGCAAGCGTACTGCTACGTGTGTGCCGGTTTCAATATCACCGAGGAGGTGGGGGGGGGGGGGTGAGCAGGGGCCCACGTGACCGCAACGTCTCAAGTATGTACCGTACGTTAAACTTCTTTCGCGTCGTACGTCGCCAGCCGTGCTCAGCGGAGGTGCGGAGAGACTGATACACCGTGCACGCCAGACGGAGGCACTCCGCATCCGTCTCCCACTCACTCCCTCGTCGGCGAGAAACACGAATGCACAGCACGTTTGGCTACGTACGGAGCGAAAGAAGCGCAACGCACGGCATACGTCCAGCTACCATCTACTTTCGCTTGGCATCATCCGTCGTTTTTTGGGGGTTTTTTGTCCGGGGCAATCGCCTCCCTCCCTCCCCTACCGGGTCGGCTACCCACCCACGAAGTCGCCCACCACCACCACCACCACCCATCCCACCAGTTCAGTCACCCACGACCTGGAGCCGAGACCGAGCGCGGTTCACCGGCCGTGCTCGGGAATCTCCACGAGTCGAGGCCGGGCCGCTCGCGCTTCTCGCAAAGCCTTAGCCCGAGCGGTGGCTGAAGATATGACCGTGAGAGTTCATCTGGGCAGAGATGAACAGCCTTGGCACATCGGTGTTGCTTGCGATGACGACGAGGGTGATGGTGGTGATGGTGACGATGGTGATGATGGTGACGATGGTGATGATGTTGATGGTGATGATGATGTTGCACGTGTCGGGAGACCACGTAGCGGAATCAACTCGCGCCACGGTGGCGAGGAGATGTTGACTACCTCGCCTGGTATACAGGAGGTCGTGGGTTCGATCCCGACCCTGTGACACCTACTGTATATTTGGAGTTTGCGTGTCTCTCTCCCCGTGGTCGCGTGGATTTTTTCTCCGGGTCCTCCGGGTTTTCCCTCCACATTTAGAATCAACGTCACGGCGTTTAGAGTAGTTGGCTGCTGCTATACACTTCCACGTGATGATGATGATGATCATGATAAGCCACCATTCAGTTGAGCTATCATTTGTGACGGCCAGGTCGCTTCTAAAAAAGAGCGACATGGCTCAGAGTGTGGGCCTCACCCGGTTAAAAGAAAAATAATTTTCCGTATTTATGGCATGGTAGTCTGTTGTCCTTTGCCAGCCACCTCTGATGAGCACGGGTTGGCTATGTACGGCGAGACAGAAGTTCAACGTACGCACGAACAACTCTGCCCCTGACGAGTTCTCTCGCTCTCGCCCCCCCCGCCACCGCTCGCTCCTGCGACCTTTTTATCCCGACGATTATTTCTCGGCCAGATCAAAAACAAACGCGTGAACGGATTTTTTTTTATTTTACGTATTTTATATCGATATATATTTAACGGTGCAAATTCAGTTCAGCTTGTGTAGTTGTACAAAGGCGAGGTTTTTTTTGTTGTGAATATATATATAAAAAGTCATATCGGTGTTGCATATATATACTGAACAACGCACTCTTAACCGTTCGATTTTTCATCCACGTGGAAGTGGAACTTAACTTTGAAATGTAAACAAAAACTATCGTCGCTTTCTCGAGGCTGTGCGTAAGTTATTCATCCAATTTAAATTTGTTGTTGTTTAAGCCAAGTTTTGCCAGCGCAGGGTTCCCCCGTTGGCTTCCGAGCAGCCTTGCCAAGCGGCCAGTAACAAGCGGCACCGTCACGGGTCGTAATGGATACGGAGTGCAGCGCGTCGCTTCAAACAGAGAAAGGGGTCGAGAGAAAGGGGTCGAGAGAAACGGGACACGCAGACACAGAGAGAGAGAGAGAGACCTGCTGAGATATACATCGATACAGAGGATATGCAAGAGATTACAAACACAAGTCCGTTCATGTTGCCTGCGGTAAATTCATAAGAATAATTTTTTGTTGTTGGGTTCCATCGCGTAAATACGAATGTGTCGTTAAACCCGCCACCACCCGACAGCCAATTTTGTGATGTTTGTCGCGTAAACAAAACCTGGCCAACTAGTTACTAGTACAGCACTAACCGGTTGTGTGTTGGAGAGTAAACCCACTACAACATTTACAATTCGAATAACGTGACGTTTCGCTTGCGTTTGCAAGAACCAGCTCCGATTTATGCGATCTAACACCAAACACACGAAAAAATATTTTTATTCTGAATAATATTGGCCGCGAAAGCCTCCGTAGCAAATGCATCATTACACCCGCGCCTTATCCACTCCTCGCGACTGGGGTGGTGATTGTGCATGTGCGTGGGGTAACCGCTGCACTACCGCTCGGAGGAGCGGTGGTGCAGCGATTAGCAGCGCTGCACTACGAATCTAGCGACCCGAGTTCGATTCCCGCTCACGGCCAACACCGGTGACGATTATCTGAACCGGTCCTGGGCCTCCCCTAGGTCGACTCAGCCTCAAATGTGTAAACATCCCCACTGGGGGAGACAAAGGCGGCCGGGCGTGGTGCTGACCGCCCACCACCACCTCGTGTGCCACAGTGCCGGCCTTCGTAGGCCCTGCGCTCGCTAACAGCCACTTTGCCTTGGGGGGTAACCGCGGGCAAAGGGGGCAGCCCCCTCCCGCTTTGTCGTACTCGGAGTTTGCGCGCAAGTCTTCTGAAGAATGCCAAATACGGGGAGGGATCTTCGTTGCGTCGCCTCTTTCAGAAAACACCTTGCTGCACGTCCTCGGTCACCTGAAGGATTCAGGTTTTTCTACTCGCGTCCTGCAGTAGCTACTGTTGTCGTTGTGGGTTTTTTTTGTATTTTACGAACGCGCGATAATTATTGCACACGGAGTCTTGAACCGTCTCTCCCACGGGGGGTGGAAAAATCACGTGCTCGTTAGCAGGAGGAGGAGGAGGAAAGGGGTGGGGGGCTGCTGCGACATTGCGACGTCGTAGGGGGTTGTAATTATCCCCCGTTTTGAACGTTCGGGGTTTTTTGGCGTCGTGCGGGAGGAAAACCCCGGAGGAATTGCGGAGGAATCGCGGCGGAAACCCGGGGAAATCGTAGAGAGATCCTGGAGAATCGTGGAGAATCTCCGGAGAAATCCCGGAGAAATCGTAGAGAAATCCCGGAGAAATGCCGGAGAAATCCCGGAGAAATGCCGGAGAAATCCTGGAGAAATCGTGGAGAAATCCCGGAGAAATCGTGGAGGAATGCTGGAGAATCCTGGAGAAATCCCAGAGAAATCCCGGAGAAATCCCGGGGAAATCCCAGAGAAATCCCAGAGGAATCCCATCCGTATGGACGAGGGGTAACAACACTCAAAACGAACGCTGAGAAGAGGGGGAGCTTGCCAAAAAAAACAACTGACCGCTCATCAGCATTGGTTGAAGCGAGCCTGACACACTGCTGATGAGACACTGAACATCGACACCGGGACCCAACGTCGTGCTCGTGTTGACGCCAGTCAGTGTCGCCTGGTGATCAAATGCTCTTCCAGAAGGCCGTGTGGCTGATGGGAGAGAGCATTTTACTTTACGTTTTTTTATTTGGATGGGCAAATATGGGAAGTAAGGCGTTTTATTGCTCGCATATTTATTTTATCTCAGATATAGCCGGTCGAATAACCTACTTTCTGTACTTCCGCAAAGCGTCGTGGAAGGCGCGCGCGAAGACCTGGGGGTTGGTGGGTTGCTCAGAGACCGCCAACGTCTCCGTTGTGAACCTCCCCCAGGGAACGGCAGCGAAGTCGCTGCCCTGCTCGTGCGAGCCATCGCCACCTCGCGTGGGGTGCGACCACCTCATGTGGGATGCGCGCAAGTTGGTCTGCGTTGTCCTCCCGACACGGAGGCCGAACGCTCCTCGCGAATGGAATTGGCGGCGCAAGTACGCGGTGTAGGCCGGAGCCAAATGATCGATCGACATGACATCTCCACTCTCGACACAAGGCGACCAAATGTTGATTTAATTGACAGCCTCCTCCATGTGCCACCCACCGCCATGCACCCACCCCAGTGACCCCACCCCAGTGACCCCACCCCAGTGACCCCAGCCCAGTGACCCCACCCCAGTGGCCCCATCTCAGTGACCCCACCCCAGTGACCCCCACCCCAGTGACCCCACCCCAGTGACCCCACCCCAGTGACCCCATCTCAGTGACCCCACCCCAGTGACCCCACCCCAGTGACCCCACCCCAGTGACCCCACCCCAGTGGCCCCACCCCAGTGACCCCACCCCAGTGACCCCACCCCAGTGACCCCACCCCAGTGACCCCACCCCAGTGACCCCACCCCAGTGACCCCACCCCAGTGGCCCCATCTCAGTGACCCCACCCCAAGTGACCCCACCCCAGTGACCCCATCCCAGTGACCCCACCGCCATGACCCCACCCCAGTGACCCCACCCCAGTGACCCCACCCCAGTGACCCCACCCCAGTGGCCCCGCCCCAGTGACCCCACGTGGCCAGGGACTGTGGCGGCAGTGCCGAGAAGGGGCCTGGGTTGGGATGCCAACTCGGGCGTCTTGGTGTGCGGGGTTTCGATGTCGCCCCCCCCCCACCTCCTCCCTCCTGTTTCCGTAATGGGGTTTCCGCTGGGGTTTTGGGTACAAAGTGGAATTGGTCAAAAACGTCGCAATGCTGAAAAATGTCCTGCAAAAAATCACTCGGCTGGGATCCGCACGCAAGCGGCAGCAGCAACAGTAGCAGCAGCAACAGAATCAGCAGCAGCAGTAGTAACAACAGCAGGAGTAGAAACAGCGGCAGCAGCATCAGTAGCAACAACTTCAGCATCAGTAGCAAGAGCAGCATCAGTAGAAACAGCAGCAGCATAAACAGCAGCAGCATGAGCAGGAGTAGCACCAACAGCAGAAAGGGGTAGAAACAGCAGCAGCATCATCAGCAGCAGCAGCCACGCCGAAAGTGAAAACGGTGGCAGGACCCTCCTGAAAAAAAAAGTTTTGAGACTCTGTGAGACTTTCCTGGGGACACACACGGAATTATAACCATCATAATAATAATGATTATTCTACTTTATCACCACACACCGCACACTGTCATGCAGACCATTGACAGTGCGGGGCCTGTAGCATGATGTTGTTATAAAGGAGCCATGAATAAAAGTGATGCCAGTTTAGATCTCAAGTTTTCGTGACTGCAATGTTCCATACTCTTTAGTTATTTCGGTAAAGTCACGTAGGTATAAAATAAAAATAATCAAAAATAAATAAAATTACAAATAATTGAATTTATTATTTATTATTTGTATTTTAGTCCTAAATAAATACAATTAATTGTGACTTTATTTATTTTTGATTATTTTATGTTTTGTTCTTTCGGTAAAGTCACGTAGGTATAAAATAAAATAATCAAAAAGAAAATAAATTAATTGTGATTTAATTTATTTAATAATCAAAAAATAATTCATAATCAAAAAGAAATAAAATTAATTGTGATTAAAATGTTTTGATTATTTTATTTTATACCGACGTGACTTTACCGAAAGAACTAAAAATAAAATGAAAAATAAATAAAATCGCAATCAAATTTCTTATTTTTATTTTATACCTACGTGACTTTACCGAAAGAACTAAAAAGTGTTGCCGATCTCCGCTCTTCGACTCTGGTATAACTCCACACCGGTGACGATGCCCACGTCTGCCGCGTTGTTACACAACGAACACACATTATCCACGGCGTTACACAGCAGCGCGTGTAACCTGTACCTGCTGGCGAGACCCGCTGTGTGCACGTGTATGAATAATAAACAATTATAAGCCGCAAACTCGGGGACCTGATTACGGGGTGATTTTTCTTATTTCCGCTTCAAATGCCTTCTTAAATTCTAGATTTGAAGCTTTCGTGACTGCAAGGATTCATACTCTTAGTTCTTTCGGTAAAGTCACGTAGGAAAAAAATGAAATTAAAATTAATAAAAATAAAATAATAAAATCACGACGTTTCGGAGGCAACACGAGTCTCCGTCGTCAGGTGGGACCGTCACAGCCAGCAACGTCGTGATTTTATTATTTTATTTTATTAATTTAAATTTCATTTTTTACCTACGTGACTTTACCGAAAGAACTAAGAGTATGCCTTCTTAAGTGCTTGATACCAATCGCATTGTCGGGCAATTAAAACATCGGCACGTGGTGTGTGCTCCCCGCTGATTACGCGACGCGGTTCAGAAGCCGGTGGTGGCTTTTGACTAAAAAATTGCAATCAAACGGAAAAGTACGGAAAGCAGCACGTGGAGAGAGACGCTGAAAGGCAGGGAGAGGATCACGTGGAGGAGAGGACACGATCAGGGTAGAGACATCACCACCGCCACCTTCACATTGATCATCACCCAGCAGTGGATAGACCACGCTGGTTACACTGAGGATCACGTGGAGGAGAGGACACGATCAGGGTAGAGACATCACCACCACCACCTTCACATTGATCATCACCCAGCAGTGGATAGACCACGCTGGTTACACTGAGGATCACGTGGAGGAGAGGACACGATCAGGGTAGAGACATCACCACCGCCACCTTCACATTGATCATCACCCAGCAGTGGATAGACCACGCTGGTTACACTGAGGATCACGTGGAGGAGAGGACACGATCAGGGTAGAGACATCACCACCGCCACCTTCACATTGATCATCACCCAGCAGTGGATAGACCACGCTGGTTACACTGAGGATCACGTGGAGGAGAGGACACGATCAGGGTAGAGACATCACCACCGCCACCTTCACATTGATCATCACCCAGCAGTGGATAGACCACGCTGGTTACACTGAGGATCACGTGGAGGAGAGGACACGATCAGGGTAGAGACATCACCACCGCCACCTTCACATTGATCATCACCCAGCAGTGGATAGACCACGCTGGTTACACTGAGGATCACGTGGAGGAGAGGACACGATCAGGGTAGAGACATCACCACCGCCACCTTCACATTGATCATCACCCAGCAGTGGATAGACCACGCTGGTTACACTGAGGATCACGTGGAGGAGAGGACACGATCAGGGTAGAGACATCACCACCGCCACCTTCACATTGATCATCACCCAGCAGTGCATAGACCACGCTGGTTACACTGATGAGCACGTGGAGGAGAGGACACGCGCAGGGTAGAGACATCACCACCGCCACCTTCACATTGATCATCACCCAGCAGTGGATAGACCACGCTGGTTACACTGAGGATCACGTGGAGGAGAGGACACGATCAGGGTAGAGACATCACCACCGCCACCTTCACATTGATCATCACCCAGCAGTGGATAGACCACGCTGGTTACACTGAGGATCACGTGGAGGAGAGGACACGATCAGGGTAGAGACATCACCACCGCCACCTTCACATTGATCATCACCCAGCAGTGGATAGACCACGCTGGTTACACTGAGGATCACGTGGAGGAGAGGACACGATCAGGGTAGAGACATCACCACCGCCACCTTCACATTGATCATCACCCAGCAGTGGATAGACCACGCTGGTTACACTGAGGATCACGTGGAGGAGAGGACACGATCAGGGTAGAGACATCACCACCGCCACCTTCACATTGATCATCACCCAGCAGTGGATAGACCACGCTGGTTACACTGAGGATCACGTGGAGGAGAGGACACGATCAGGGTAGAGACATCACCACCGCCACCTTCACATTGATCATCACCCAGCAGTGGATAGACCACGCTGGTTACACTGAGGATCACGTGGAGGAGAGGACACGATCAGGGTAGAGACATCACCACCGCCACCTTCACATTGATCATCACCCAGCAGTGCATAGACCACGCTGGTTACACTGATGAGCACGTGGAGGAGAGGACACGCGCAGGGTAGAGACATCACCACCGCCACCTTCACATTGATCATCACCCAGCAGTGGATAGACCACGCTGGTTACACTGAGGATCACGTGGAGGAGAGGACACGATCAGGGTAGAGACATCACCACCGCCACCTTCACATTGATCATCACCCAGCAGTGGATAGACCACGCTGGTTACACTGAGGATCACGTGGAGGAGAGGACACGATCAGGGTAGAGACATCACCACCGCCACCTTCACATTGATCATCACCCAGCAGTGCATAGACCACGCTGGTTACACTGATGAGCACGTGGAGGAGAGGACACGCGCAGGGTAGAGACATCACCACCGCCACCTTCACATTGATCATCACCCAGCAGTGGATAGACCACGCTGGTTACACTGAGGATCACGTGGAGGAGAGGACACGATCAGGGTAGAGACATCACCACCGCCACCTTCACATTGATCATCACCCAGCAGTGGATAGACCACGCTGGTTACACTGAGGATCACGTGGAGGAGAGGACACGATCAGGGTAGAGACATCACCACCGCCACCTTCACATTGATCATCACCCAGCAGTGCATAGACCACGCTGGTTACACTGATGAGCACGTGGAGGAGAGGACACGATCAGGGCAGAGACATCACCACCGCCACCTTCACATTGATCATCACCCAGCAGTGGATAGACCACGCTGGTTACACTGATGAGCACGTGGAGGAGAGGACACGATCAGGGTAGAGACATCACCACCACCACCTTCACATTGATCATCACCCAGCAGTGGATAGACCACGCTGGTTACACTGATGAGCACGTGGAGGAGAGGACACGATCAGGGTAGAGACATCACCACCGCCACCTTCACATTGATCATCACCCAGCAGTGCATAGGCCACGCTGGTGGTGATGACGAGAAGTGACGTTGCTACCTGGTGCGCGCGTCACAGTGTTGACGGAAAGTGACGTCAGCCCCGCGGCGCGGGTTCCCCGAAACGGAGCGCGCGGGTCAGCGTCTGGGAGTGACAGAGACTCACAAAGACACACACAGAGACACACACAGAGATACTCACACAGACACACACAGAGACTCACACAGAGACAGACACAGAGAGACTCGGAGACACAGAGACTCACAGAGACACACACAGAGAGACTCACAGAGACTCACACAGAGAGACTCGGAGACACAGACACAGACTCTCCTAGAGAGACACACACACAGAGACACACACAGAGACTTACACAGAGACTCAGAGACACACACAGAGACTCACACAGAGACACACACAGAGACTCACACAGAGACACTCACACAGACACACACATAGACTCACACAGAGACACTCACACAGACACACACAGACACTCACACAGACACACACAGAGACACACACAGAGACAGACACAGAGACTCACACAGAGACACACACAGAGACAGACACAGAGAGACTCGGAGACACAGAGACTCACAGAGACACACACAGAGAGACTCGGAGACACACAGAGACTCACACAGAGAGACTCGGAGACACAGACACACACAGAGACTCTCCTAGAGAGACACACACACAGAGACACACACAGAGACTCTCCTAGAGAGACACACACACAGAGACACACACAGAGACTCACACAGAGACTCAGAGACACACACAGAGACTCACACAGAGACTCACACAGAGACACACGGAGACACAGAGACACACACAGAGACTCTCAAAGAGACTCACACAGAGACTCACACAGAGACACACAGAGACTCACACAGAGACACAGACTCACACAGAGACTCACAGAGACTCACACAGAGACACACACAGACACACACAGACTCTCACAGAGACTCACAGAGACACACACAGACACAGAGACACACACAGAGACACACACAGAGACTCTCAAAGAGACTCACACAGAGACTCACACAGAGACACACAGAGACTCACACAGAGACTCACACAGAGACACAGACTCACACAGAGACTCACAGAGACTCACACAGAGACACACACAGACACACACAGACTCTCACAGAGACTCACAGAGACACACACAGACACAGAGACACACACAGAGACACACACAGAGACTCACAGAGAGACTCAGAGACTCACACAGAGACTCAGAGACTCACACAAAGACACACACAGACACACACAGACTCTCACAGAGACTCACAGAGACACACAGAGACACAGAGACACACACAGAGACACACACAGAGACTCACAGAGACTCAGAGACTCGGCAGGACCAGAGCGGGGAAGTATGGACGCCGCGTGCGGTGAGTACATTGTGTACTGTAGTTGTGTACTGTAGCTGTGTACTGTAGTTGTGTACTGTAGTTGTAGACTGTAGTTGTAGACTGTAGTTGTGTACTGTAGTTGTGTACTGTAGTTGTAGACTGTAGCTGTGTACTGTAGTTGTAGACTGTAGTTGTGTACTGTAGTTGTGTACTGTAGTTGTAGACTGTAGCTGTGTACTGTAGCTGTAGACTGTAGTTGTAGACTGTAGTTGTGTACTGTTTGTGTACTGTAGCTGTAGACTGTAGTTGTGTACTGTAGTTGTGTACTGTAGTTGTAGACTGTAGCTGTGTACTGTAGCTGTAGACTAGTTGTGTACTGTAGTTGTGTACTGTAGCTGTAGACTGTAGTTGTGTACTGTAGTTGTGTACTGTAGTCGTGTACTGTAGTTGTAGACTAGTTGTGTACTGTTGTTGTAGACTGTAGTTCTGTAGTTGTAGACTGTAGTTGTAGACTGTAGTTGTGTGCTGTAGTTGTGTACTGTAGTTGTAGTCTGTAGTTCTGTACTGTAGTTGTAGACTGTAGTTGTGTACTGTGGTTGCGTACTGTAGTTGTAGACTGTAGTTGTGTGCTGTAGTTGTGTACTGTAGTTGTAGACTGTAGTTGTGTACTGTAGTTGTATACTGTAGGTGTATACTGTATTTGTGTGCTGTAGTTGTAGACTGTAGTTGTAGACTGTAGTTGGTGTACTGTAGTTGTATACTGTAGTTGTAGACTGTAGTTATGTACTGTAGTTGTAGACTGTAGTTGTGTACTGTAGTTGTAGACTAGTTGTGTACTGTAGTTGTAGACTGTAGTTGTGTACTGTAGTTGTAGACTGTAGTTGTGTACTGTAGTTGTGTACTGTAGTTGTGTACTGTAGTTGTGTACTGTAGTGTGCTGTAGTTGGTGTACTGTAGTTGTAGACTGTAGTTGTGTACTGTAGTTGTAGACTGTAGTTGTGTACTGTAGTTGTGTACTGTAGTTGTAGACTGTAGTTATGTACTGTAGTTGTGTATAGTTGTTGTAGACTGTAGTTGTGTACTGTAGCTGTAGACTGTAGTTGTGTATTGTAGTTGTATACTGTAGTTGTAGACTGTAGTTATGTACTGTAGTTGTGTACTGTAGTTGTAGACTGTAGTTGTGTACTGTAGTGTGCTGTAGTTGTGTACTGTAGTTGTGTACTGTAGTTGTAGACTGTAGTTGTGTACTGTAGTTGTAGACTGTAGTTGTGTACTGTAGTTGTGTATTGTAGTTGTATACTGTAGTTGTGTACTGTAGTTGTATACTGTAGTTGTAGACTGTAGTTGTGTACTGTAGTTGTGTATTGTAGTTGTATACTGTAGTTGTAGACTGTAGTTATGTACTGTAGTTGTATACTGTAGTTGTAGACTGTAGTTGTGTACTGTAGTTGTGTACTGTAGTTGTGTACTGTAGTTGGTGTTTTACGACTTAAAACTCCGACGAGGCCACCTCACATCTTCGTGTTGTTGTTGCTGCTGCTGATAAAATTTTACTTAAAACTTTCGTGACTGCAGGAATTCATATCCTTAGTTATTTCGGTAAAGTCACGTAGAAGCCTAGAAGGGAAATAATAAAATACATTTTTTTATTATATTTTTATAATAATAATAAAAAAATCTTATTATTTTATAATAAAAAAAGAAATATAAAACAATAAGATTCTCACGACGTTTCGACTGCAACACAAGCAATAATAATCAGGTGTGAAATCCACAGCAATAAAAATATTTCACACCTGATGATGATTGCTTGTGTTGCAGTCGAAACGTCGTGAGAATTTTATTGTTTTATATATTTTTTATTTTTTTATTTCCCTTGTACTGTGACTTTACCGAAAACAGGACCCTGCGGGGTGGGCTGGTAGGAACGAATAACCAAAGAATATAAACATAATGTATTATTACACTTGTTTAGCCAGGAAAGCCCCACTGAGTCTAAAGGTTTTTGTAGGGTCCTGCCAAGTGTTTGCAGTAGGGGGCGATGTTGCTACACCGAATCGGACGATACGAAGGGAGAGTTTGAGGCCTAGTTCTAGGCTTTTATTTTAGGCTTTTATTTTATTTTTTTTATTAATTTTGATGTTTTACCTACGTGACTTTACCGAAAAAACCTAAGAATATGAATCCTTGCAGTCACGAAAGCTTCAAATCTAGAATTAGTTCTAGGCTTTAGGCCTAGCTGTAGGCTTTAGGCGGCTGTGAGTTAATTGTTAATTTAAATGTTTTAATTATTTATGTAAAAGCTTTAAATGTAAATGTTTGTATTTAAAAACATGAGGGAATGTAACATTGTTAAACATTAACTCCCTTTCACACACGCGGGGGTACGATACGAAGGGAGACTTTGAGGCCTAGTTCTAGGCTTTAGGCCTAGCTGTAGGCTTTAGGGCGCTGTGAGTTTTTTTTATTTAATTTCAAAGTTTGAATTAAAAGCTATCTCACGGAATTATAAGGGAATGTTTATTCCCTTGTTTAGCCAGGAAAGCCTCACAGAGTCTTAATGTTTTTGTAGGGTCATGCCAAGTGTTTTCAGTAGGGGGCGATGTTGCTACACGTAATCGGACATCGGACGGACGGACGATATCATCTATTGTAGGCTGGTCCACTTCGTTCCTACCAGTATAACCAAGACAATGCATAGATTATCAGAGCATTTTTGTTTGCATTTTCATCACAAGCACCGTGTGAGGTTAATGCAGCAACTTGATTCCTTCCAAGAGGTATCTATTTGGTGCTTGAACATCTGAACACACGACCTGTTTTATTACCAGAGAAGGATAAAACACAACCTGTTAAATTTCGATTTAAAGCTTTCGTGACTGCAGGGATTCATCTTCTTGGTTCTTTAGGTATTTTATTATGTTTTATTTTTATTATTTTATTATTTCCCTTCTACGTGACTTTACCGAAAGAACCAAGAAGACACAACCTGTTAGTATTTCATTTGATTCCATTTGTTATTGCCATCACATCTTTTTGACTTTAGAAGGAGAGAGTTGCGGGGAGGAGGAGGGGGTGCTGTTCAGCCGCCCCCATCCCGGAGGAATCCTTGAAAGTCCTTCCGGCACGTGAAAAGGCTCCGGCGTTTGTTGCCAGCCGCATGCTAGTCGCTGCGGGGATGGTGGGGCTGAGTCAGACGTCGTAATCGGGTACCCGATACCCGTACCCTACCCGATACCCGGCTACCTGTACCCGGCCGGGTACGGTTACGGGTACCCGTTTGCGACCCTGGTGCGGCCGGGTACGGGTACGGGTAGGCCGTGAGTCACTGGTGAGTAACCGTTTGTCACTCATTTCGGGTAGGGTACGGGTAGGGAACGGGTACCCGTACCCGGCTGGGTACGGGTATGTGTACCCATTTGCGACCCTGGTGCGGCCGGGTACGGGTAAGGAATCAAAACCCGTTTGCGACCTCTGGGCTGAGTGGTGTACAAAGTCGAAAATCACCGCTGGACCTTTCGCACGTCCAGTTTATTGGGCCAATTGCTGACGTGGCTAGGAGATGTTATCTCCCTCGTCTGGTACGCAGGAGGTGGTGGGTTCGATCCCGACCCTGACGGAGTTTGCGTGTCTCTCTCTCTTTCCGCGGTGGTCCGGTTTTTCCCCTCCGCATTTAGAATCAACGTCACCACGCGTTTCAGAGTATTTGGCTACTGCTGTACATGTCTACGTGGTGATCATGAGCCACTTTCGTTGAGCTGTCATTTGTGTGGTCAGGTCACTTTTGAAACTGAGCTATACACAAACCTGTCAACCCCTTATCAGTGCCCTACCTTATTACAACACCAATTCAGACCTCATTGGTCACCCCGTACCCCTTATACATCTCAACGTGCATCCTACAAAGTCCCATCGCAAGCGAGAAACACAGACAACATTTGAGTGTTTTTCCCGTATTGAAACGGCTGTACGCCGTATGGACCTGAAAACTCAATTTCCCTGAACTGGGTGAACCGTATGGGTTGGCAGGCATAGCTTTTAAAATAAAATAAAAACTTGGAGTGATGATCGTGTGGGCCAGTGGTTGGAGGACACCGTGTTTGGCACAACAATGCCGCCGCCTCTTCTTCTGGTGTACACTCGGACTGCTGTGAGGTTATCAATCGCAGGGGCAAGAGAGTCGATGATGCACTCCATTGTTTGGTTACCGTCTACGACCACAATACAATAATGTCCGTGTGTACGCACGTTGAACTTTTTTCGCACCGTACGTAGCCAACCGTGCCAATCGGAAGTGCTACTATAAAACTCGGAGGTACTACTATAGCGATAGTAACGCTTGATAACGATAATAATTCTTCTAATCCACCTCTCAAGACGATGCAATCACATGGAGCTCTCCGTGTTGCGGTATTGGGAGATATTCTCCTCTCCACGATGTACGCACGTACGTGTGTACGTACGCTGAACTTCTTTCGCACCGTACGTAGCCAACCGTGCCAATCGGTGGTGCGGGAACGACGAGACGTGCCCCGGTTTGTCCGATGTCTCACCTTTTACTTTGCGTCTTACAGAGCGCGGGGGGATGGCGATCCCCCCAACCCCCAACGCGACATCCCTCCCGGCTTCGGGCGAGGGGCCTCCTACGTCTCCCGCACCTCGTCTGCTGGCGGCTGGACGAGGCCTCGGTGGCGCGCGCCACGCCGCTCTTTGGGGTCTCCGCGGGCGGAGGCGGCGTGACGGCGGTGGCGTGCAGCGGCGCCCAGCGCCTGATCGTCCTGGCGGAGGACGGAACGGCGCTGGAGCGCGGCGCGAGCGGAGACGGCTTTCAAGGTGTGGGGGGGGGGGGGGGGCGACGAGCACGCGCACGCTGAAGACAAAGATCCCCCGTGTGGCCTTTAACAGACCGTCAGGGCAAGCGCTGTTAGCGAGCGCCTACGAAGGCCGGCAACGGCACACGAGGGGGTGGATCGCCAGCACCACGCACGGCCGCCTTTGTCTCTCCAGTGGCGATGTTTTACAGACCGCAGCGGGTACTAATTTGAGGCCGAGTCGACCTAGGGGGAGGCCCAGGAGCGGTTCAGATAATCGTCACCGGTGTTGGCCGAGAGCGGGAATCGAACTCGGTGTCGCCGGGTTCGTAGCGCAGCGTAGCGTAGCGCTAACCGCTACTCCACCGCTCCCCACGCTCACACGCACGCACACATACACACACGGACATGCGGCCCCCCTCCCCGGTCCCCAAGGGGGGGGGAGGCTTAGCCGACCGCGAGGCCACGGGGCGGCGGCGGTCACCGGTCGGCGATGGCCACGGCCGTCTCTAACGATCTCTAACGAGGGTAAAACTTTGCTCGCCGCGCTCACCGCTCGTCTTTGAGGTTCGCGGCTCGTCGCCGGCGCTGCGTCGTGCCGCGTTGTTTTTAATCGTTGCCAACATTGTTTGACTCGACTGGGAGAATTTAGAAGGGGGTGCTGAGTTGTTGAGCATGGCGGGAGGGGGGGGGGGGTGTTGGCGTTGTGGGGGCAGTGCTGAGCCCCCTCCGGCTCCGGATCATCTGTACGGCTTCCCCCACGAGATCCGCTTGCACCCTCGGTTCTCCAACAGAATCAGAATCGTGAGCAATGAAGCTCTTTTTCACAGATGTCCAGTAGGAGATTAGCACCGCGGAGCGAGCGTTCCATTACGGAGTCTTTGTCTACAAGAGTTTTTTTTGGGTTAGATTGCGTAAATATGAATGTGTCGTTAAACCCTCCACCACCCGACACAATTAGTAAGGTTTGTCACGTAAACAGAACGTGCCAATTCTTTGTCTTCGTCCGATCACGTGACGTGCCGCCTATGAGATAGTCGGGGTGGGCGAACGGAGGTGCTGACGTGCAGGAGAGCGAACGCTTCCTCTGAGAATCAACATTCGTCTCCTCTTCGCGAAGGGGGGGCGGGGAGGGGGGGGGGGCAGGCGGCGGTGGTGCACTTGATCGCGATCCGCGGTGCGCAACCCGCCGCCTCGCCCGTCACGCTGGCGCTAACCGTTTCCATTCCTCACGCGACACGGTCCCCCCCTCTGGCCGCCCCCCACCTCGTCCCACCCTCTGCCGCTGAGTGTGCAGCTGTGCCCGCGAAGCGGCTGACGCAGGTGAGCTGCGGGGAGCATCACGCCGTGGCGCTCACTGGCGACGGGCAGCCGCTCATGTGGGGCGGCAGGGACGCGCCCAGGTGAGTGGCACGGGGGGCGCCGCTCGCGGTGAGATGGGGCAGCCCGAGCTCGGCGGTCAGTCGCTACGGTGGCCAGGAGATGTTGACTACCTCGCCTGGTACGCAGGAGGTCGTGGGTTCTATCCCGACCCTGACGCCTACTGCTGTATTGGAGTTTGCCGTGTCTCTCTCTCTCATCATCATCATGGTGGATAGGAGATGTTAACTAACTCGTCTGGTATGCAGGAGGTCGTGGGTTCCTTCCTGACCCTGACGCCTGCTGCTGTATATTTGGAATTTGCGTGTCTCTCTTTCTCATCATCATCACGGTGGCTAGGAGATGTTGACTACCTCGCCTGGTATGCAGGAGGTCGTGGGTTCGATCCCGACCCTGATGCCTGCTGCTGTATATTTGGAGTTTGCATGTCTCTCCCTCTCCCCGTTGTGGTTGTGGGTTTTTCCCTTCGCATTTAAAATCTAAATGACGCATTTAAGAGTATTTGGCTGCTGTAAATTCCCACGTGATGGTATGAGCCACTTTATTGAGCTATCATTTGTGATAGCCAGGTCGCTTCTGAAAAAGAGCTACATAGCTCGGTGGGGCCTTACCTGGTAAAACTAAAATAGTTTAGTTTTAGTTCGATTGCTACGAGCATGATGACTGTTCCCACCACCAGACACTGACTGTTTCCACTCGTCCATTCTGCGTTCACCCACCACACTGCAGGTCACAACAACAACACTCGCTCGCCCACGCGCCAACTCACTCACCCACTCACTCACCACAATTCACTCTCCCATCGTCTCTTTACCCCCAAGCTCCCACAACAACAATAATTCATTCAGGATTCATATGCTAATCACCGTGCCACCAGTCCCCCACACTCCCGTGTGTTTGAAAAAAATTACCTATTAAATATCAAATCGCTTTTACATTATCTAGGGGCACGTGATATAGCTGCTCACACCGAGCTATGAATGCTCTGATACGTGCATTGTCGTTGCGCTGCACGCATTTTGGCGTTCTCTGGTCTGACCCTGGTGAGACTAGGCCATAAAGATGGCTGTCTCCGGTGCAGGCTAATCGGTTTCAAAGACAATGCATAGATTAATGAATTATCAGAACATGTTTTGTTTGCATGCTCACCATGAATACCACATTTGGTTAATGCAGACTTGATTCCTTGAAAAAGGATTCTATTTGGTTTTTAAACATCTTAACACACCAGAAAGGGTAAAAACCTATTCTTATTTTTCATAGTGTCAATAATTATTAAAGCATGAAATCGGCGATGAAAGCGTCACATTGCGATTTTTTTGTGCCCGAAATCTCTTTCCGCAGAGCGACCGTGGATTTGCAACCGGCGCCCAAGCAGCAGAGAAACAGATCGGGAAAGAAAAACCAAAGGAAGCCGGCGGTGGCGCAGACGACGGCGGCAGGAGACGCCCAGAGCGTCTCCGCTCCCAGGCCAGTGCTGGTCCACTCGAGGCCGGAGGTTCTCATCCCGTGGGGGGCCGCGGAGGGCAGCGGCATTGTTTCGAACGAAGATTTGCGACCAAGTTATTCGTCAGCGGAGTGTTTTTAATTTGCACGTTTGAACTTCTTTCGCGCCGTACGTAGCCAACCACGCTAATCGTAGGTGCGGAGGAAGGGTACAAACTATAGGTCTATGTGGGTCTTTATGTGAGTCTGTGTCTGTATGTATGTTGAACTTCTTTCGTACCGTACGTAGCCAACCGTGCGAATCGGAGGTTGCGGGGGGGAAGGACAACAAACTAAACACAAAAAGCAGCTCTAAAGAAATGAGCTTTCAATCTGGATGATTTGAAATGTGCATAGCTCCGAGTGGCTTCCCAATAACGGAAGGAAGAGCGTTCCAGACGGCCGCAGAAGCGCGTTTTAGAGCATTTGGTTGCGGCTATAAATGTCCACGTGATGCTGATGATGCTGATGATGAGAGGCACTTGATTGAGCTATCGTTTTTGTAACGGCCACGTGACTTCTGAAAAAGAACTATACAGCTCAGTGGGGCCTTACCTGGTAAAATAAAAAAAATATCATCTTGGTTCTTTCGGTAAAGTTACGTAGAATGCAAATAATAAAATAACATGAAATAAGTATTTTATTATTTTTATTATTATTTTAGTAATTCCATTCTACGTGACTTTACCGAAAGAACCAAGAAGATGAATCCCTTCAGTCACGAAAGCTTTAAATCGAAATAAAAAAGATAGTTCAGTTTTAGTTTATTAAAACGATCGCGCCGAAATCAAATGCATTCAATAAAATTGTTGTTAATTTTACGCAAATTAAAGTTGGCGGTGATGGGCGCGTGCGGTTCACAGGCCGGTCAACATCATAGTGGACGCATTCCGGAGGGTGCCGGTGGTGCAGGTCACGTGCGGAGCCCATCACACCCTCGCTCTCTCCAGCGGTACGCCACCGTTCAATCCTCGCATCTCCCTCGATCCCCCCCCCCCCACCATGTATAGCAGCTGATATACAAGTAAACAAATACACACACTTTGTGATGCACCGCACAGTTTTAGTTTTTTACGTCCAGAGGCGCAGGAAGCCACAGATCCGCACATCCGATTAGCACGGTTGGTTACGTACGGTGCAACAAAGAAGTTCACTACCCATAAACCAACACTGCCCATAGACTCAACACTACCCATAGACTCAACACTACCCATAGACCAACACTACCCATAGACTCAACACTACCCATAGACTCAACACTACCCATAGACCTACACTACCCATAGACTCAACACTACCCATAGACCAACACTACCCATAGACTCAACACTACCCATAGACTCAACACTACCCATAGACCAACACTACCCATAGACTCAACACTACCCATAGACTCACACTACCCATAGACTCAACACTACCCATAGACTCACACTACCCATAGACTAACACTACCCATAGACTAACACTACCCATAGACTCACACTACCCATAGACTCAACACTGCTCATAGACTAACACTACCCATAGACTAACACTACCCATAGACTCACACTACCCATAGACTCAACACTACCCATAGACCTACACTACCCATAGACTAACACTACCCATAGACTCAACACTACTCCTCCGATTAACTTGCGTACGTACTACCCATAAGAGTTTTTTGAGTTAGATGGCGTAAATATAAATGTGTCGATAACCCCGCCACCACCCAACGCAGCCAATTAGTAAGGTTCGTCAAGCAAAACGTGCCAATTCGTTACGAGGTATGGTGGTGCGGTGCGGTGGCATCGTGTACGAACGTTGAAACGTACGTAGCCAACCGTGCTAATCGGAGGTGCGGGCGAAGCACAACAAACTAAATGCAACAACAAGAAGCAGCAGTTCTAAAGCAAGTAGATGATTTAAAAGTGCACGGTGGCTTCTTAACATTGGAAGGAAGAGCTTTCCAGACGGCCGCGTGGTGCGGCAGTGCGGATGGTGCCGGCGTGGCGGTGACGCCCTCCCGCTTGGTGTTTCTCAGCGAGCGTGGTGTTTGCGCTTGGTGTTTCTCAGCGAGCGTGGTGTTTGCGCTTGGTGTTTCTCAGCGAGCGTGGTGTTTGCGTGGGGGACGAACGACCGCGGGCAGCTGGGCCTGGGCTCTGCGGTCCCGCGGAGCGACCCGCTGGCCGTGGGGGCCCTGTGCGGGATGCCCGTGAGGGCCCTGGCGGCCGGCGCCGCGCACAGCCTGGCCGTGACGGTCACCGGCGGCGTCTACGTCTGGGGCGCCAACGATCACCGCCAGCTGGGCCTCGACCGTCTGCAAGGTTCCTCGCTCAACGTTTTTGTTTGCCTCTTTCAACTTCTCTTCATCCGACTGCTACCACTGCGTGGGGTTTTTTTCTTCCTTTTTTCTTCTTTTTACTTATTATTTTCTAAATTATTTCTTCCGTTTTCCTTCTGTTTTCCTTCCTTATTTCGTCTTTTTCCTTATTTTTTTCTTCCTTTTTTCTTTTTCTTATTTTCCTTCCCTTTTCCTTCTTTCTTATTTTTTTCTCTACTTCCCCCCTCTCCCCCCTCCCCCCCCCCCCCCCCCCCGTTGCGCTGCGTCGAGTTTCAAGTTAAATCTGTTTAACCGAGTGAGGACTCGCCAACTGACCGGCTCGTGTCTTCGGGACAGCGTGCCGCAAGTTGTTTGCGTTGTTCGGCACGGACTCAGTGCCCAGAAGAAGCTCCCCCCCCACCCCACCCCCGTGCACCTGGAGAGGAACGTCAGGATGGAAGTTTTATCTCGTTCCACGAATCTTTCCCACTCCGTTAGAGAAATCGTTGTCAGCCATGGTCAGTCCGCTGCTGGATGAATCTCTTGACGCGACGAAGCACCCAGCGCCACCACGCAAATTGATTTCGTCGCTCCGTCTGCACGCCGGACGTCCGCGTGGAAGCGTTACGTTCCTTGGCTGGCCCCTTACGTGTTTATCTTTGACCGCCGTCGCCCCATCGTCCCTCCTGGCCGTGGCAAAGCCCTTCCCAAGCACCGGGCGCTCTCGTAAACGTTTGGACGACTGACCTTCGTGCATTTTCCGTTCTACGTGTTCACAGAAACTGAACTATAAAATATGTTGCTTATTGATTTTAAACTAAACTCTTTTTATTTTACCGGGTAAGGCCCACTGAGCTGTATTGCTCTTTGTTTCGGAAGCGACCTGGCCACAAATGATAGCCCAACGAAGTGGCTTAGAGCACCACGTGGAAATGTATAGCAGCCAAATACTGTAAACGCGTGATGTTGATTCTAAATGTGGAGGGAAAAAAAACGGAGGACCCGGAGAAAAATCTACGTGACCACGGGGAGAGAGACACGCAAACTCCAAATATACAGCAGCAGGCGTCAGAGCCAAGATTGAACCCACGACCTCCTGTACACCAGGCGAGGTAGTTAACATCTCCCAGCCACCGTAGCACCCCATGTCTTTTGCCTCTTGGTGTCATCCCCAGCTCGCGCCTCTCCCTACGCTTCTTTGTACGCAGGTTGAACGTCTTTCGCACCATACGTAGCTGACCGCGCTAATCGGGGGGTTCCCGGTTTTGCGAGCCGCGAGCTGCGTTTCTGAGCGGTGTGCGTCGTACCACCTGGGAGCAATCGCCAATTAAGCTTCTCTTATTGAGGCCGCAGGGGCGCGAGAAAAATCTGTTTGTTACCAAGGCTCAGAGTTCCAGTGGTGACGTAGTTCTTTGCCGGATTTCTTCCCCCACCCAGACGCCTACGAGGTCGTGCGATTGGAGAGCCTGCGGGCCCGGCACGTTGTCCACGCGTCCTGCGGTGACCGGCACACGGCGCTGCTGACCAAGGTACCGCCGGGCGAGGGTGGCGAACGATTACCGGCCGTGAAAAACAAACGGATCGTGGTTTAACACCCAGTCGGCTTTTCGCGACCAATATTATCCACAGTAGAGGGTTTTTTCGGGTGAGGTCACGTCAATATATCAATGTGTCGTTAAACCCGCCACCAACCGACACGGTCAGTTGGTAAGATTTGTCACGTTAACCAAACGTGAAAATTCGTTACGAGTACAGCACCACCGGTGCGTTGGAGAGTAAACCCACTACTTTTACAATTACTCTCCAACACACCGGTTTGCTGTACCAGTAACGAATTGGCACGTTTTATTCACGTGACAAATCTGACTAATTGGACGTGTCGGGTGGTAGCGGATTTAATGATACATTTATAGTTTAGAGGAGCGAACCGCGCGGTGGCACGGCGGCGTTACGAGTTGACATCGCGATCGTTATTTCGCTTGGAGTGCCTCGCCAGTCATGTCGGAGGCTACGTGAGGGGATCGTTGTCCGTGTTCACGCCGTGTCCGTTGCGCTACAGGAGGGGACGGTGCTCATTCTCGGTGGGGCTGCACCTCCTGCTGCTGCTGCAACTGCAGCTGCTACGACAACAACCGAACAGCTGGCCCACAGCTCTGCGGTGACGGAGTGCAGCATCAGCGGAATATCACAGATCGCCTGCAGCAGGTACGCAGCGCTTTGGTGCCGCTGACGTAGCTGACGTTGGCGGTGTCGGCACTAAGCACGGACGACAATAACAACAACAACAACAAAAAACACTCAACGCTTTCATTGATTACTCTGCGGCCCTTAAAAAAAAATTACAGTTAATAACAGGCGACGTTTCGGCGCTGTAAGTCGGTTGGTTGCCTTACGTTTGCTGCGGTCGCCGCCCCCGCTGCACTGTTCGTCCCCGTTCACGAGCCGCTTGGCGAACCCACTCCGTTCGCCCGCCGCCCGTCAGTGGCGAGCCTCCTCTCTGCTGACGACGGCCGCTGCTGCCTGACCTCTGCAGTTTTCACACGGCGGCGCTGAGCGCCGACTCCAAAAGAATCTACTTGCTGGCGACGCCGCAGGGACCCGGCACGCAGGAGGGCGGCACCACGGAGCTGCAGCTGGACGGGGTCTCACTTGGGGGTCCGGCCGGCCCAGGTACGTACGTTGTACGTACGTTGTACGTATGTTGTATGTATGTTGTACGTATGTTGGATGTATGTATGAGCGGTAGCGTAGCGGTTAGTGCGCCGCGCTACCAACCTGGTGACCCGAGGTCGTTTCCCGCTCGCGGCCACCAACACCACTGACGGATGATCTGAACCGGTCATGGGCCTCCCCTAGGTCGACTCAGCCTCAAATGAGTACCTGGTGCGGTGTGTAGTAAACATCGCCACTGGGGAGACAAAGGCGGCCGGGCGTGGTGCTGGCCACCCACCCCCTCGTGTGCCGTGCCAGCCTTTATAGGTGCTCGCTAACAGCACTTGCCCCTACAGTCTGTTCTGGCTATCGGGGGGATCTTTGTCTTTGTATGTAGTATGTATGTTGAACGTCTTTTGCACCGTACTTAACCAACCATGTAAATCGGAAGTGCGGGGGACGGACAACAACTAAACACAAAGAGCATTTCTAAACAAATTAGCTTTCAATCGAGATTTAAAAGTGCATACAAAGACACAAAGAGACTCGTGTTTATATCTCTCGGGGTCTACACATCTCTGTGGGTCTCTATGTATTTCTATGGGTCTCTATGTATCTCTATGCATTTCTATGTATCTCTGTGGGTCTCTATAGATCACTACGGGGTTCTATGTATCTCCAGGGGTCTCTGTGTATCTCCACGGGCCTCAATTTTCCCACTCGTGAAGCAGATGTGGTGCCCATCGGCCGACCGTCGGTGGCGTTCCGGTGACGCGGTTTGACGGTCAGGCCACCGCTAACGTGCCCGAGATGGCGAGAGCGTCAAACCCGGGAGGCGCGCGATCGACGCCCCGAGTGAGCGACACTGACATTGTGAACGTCTCCCGCAGCCGGCGGCATCGTCGTGAGGGACATTTTTGCCGGAGGCAGCCGCGTCTACGCCACCTGCTGCGGCGCAGAGGTGAGCGATCGGTCCGCGGCACTGCGACTGATGCCGCACGAGACAAATTGCTGCGTCCGCGACTCCGCTCGCCTGCCGAAGAAAGCCTCTCCGTGCTTAGCGGAGAAGGGGGCGGCACGGGGGGGGGGGGGGGGATGGCCTGCCGAGGTTTTTGTATCGAGGGCCGGTGTTGCTGACGTGTGCGTCATACCGACAGAACGTACGTGCGTACAGGCGACCCCCGCACCTTCGACCTAATTGGTTCCTGCACTACGCTCGCAAGTGGAGCCGTCGTAAGTCCAGCGCCTTAGTTCCCACACGGTGGAAGAGCAAAGCAGTGCCATCAGGCGACAAGTGTGCACATGACGTGTCGCCTATATACTATACCAGGGGTCGGCAACCTACGGCTCCGGAGCCGCATGCGGCTCTTTACGGGCTGCTTCTTGACGATATGTATGTACAGTATGTACTCAGATGCATTGCGGCTCTTGAAATACTGAATTTTGTACCGAATTGGAAAGAAATGGCTCTTCTTGTTATTTTGGTTGCCGACCCCTGTACTATACTATACACTACACTATTATCCACTATATACACTACGCTATACACTACACTATACACTACACTACTACTCTACTATACATTAGACTACTATACACTACTTCACACTACACTACTACTCTACTATACACTACACTACGAGTATGCGCATGACATGCACAAGCCGTCGTAAGTCAGGGGTCACCGCTATGTTGAACTCCTTCCACACCGTTACGTAGCCAGCCGTGCTAATCGGAGGTGCAGGAAGTGTGATTCGCTGGCGATTTCTCAGCGTCGGGATGTTTTAGTCCGACGCCATTTTGCGTTACGTTGCATAGCTTGCGTGGAAACTCATTCCTTTAGAACTGCTTTCTGCGTTTAGTGTTGTCGTCATTCCCCCCGCACCTCTGATTAGCGTGGTTGGCTACGTAACGTTGCCAAAGAAGTTCAACGTACACACACACATGACCAGTGTAGGCCAAACACATCCCAATGCCGAAAACGTCCCGCCAGTTTACTCGATCGGGACCGCGCGTGGCAGCAGCATCGCCGCCCTCTGCTGCGAAATAACCCAGCGCCGCCGCTCCTCGCCAAAAGAGTCTTGCGGCTCTCCGGGGCAAACGGGCACGAAGGACGGTCGCAATCGGTAACCAATCAAATAACGCCGCCGCATTCTCCTCCTTCTCCTGCAGGAGTCTCGAGTTGACCCAAAGGGCACGCGCGCTCCTGGGATCTGCACCGCGACTCCTGAGTTGCGCGAGAAGTTGACGTCCAAGTCAACTCTGCGTCCTGTGTTTGAGCGGTAAGCAAGAGCGCGCTCGCGCGTGCGAGCGTGGCGATTTGCGTCAACATTCCTGCCCGGCTCTTCCCCAACTAAAACTCTCAGACCGAACGCGATTGTGACTGTTGCCGTTGCAAAAATTTGGTTTCGCGACTTCCCCCCGCCCGCAATCTGCCTGCGGAATTTCTGTGACCCCCTTCGCTCGTGATTGGAGAAGACGCAAAAAACAAACAAAAATCAAATAGGTTTATGAGAATTCTTCCCTTATCCGCGACCGCCGGGCGAGCCGGAACGACGACAGTGATGGGCGTGTCGACGGGAACGCTCGCAAAGCAACGCTGTCATCCGTTTGGTCGTGCCGGGTGGTGGAGGGTTTCTTAAAGACACAGGTTTGGGGGGGGGGAGGGGCGGGGGGGTTAGGGATCGATCGCGTCAGCGGCCCTGAGCCAGAGGTAGATTACACTGGTCAACACACTGTTTCTGGCATAAGGTATTCCAACGGGTTCATAGTAATTTTGGGGTGCTGATTCCAAATCTGGCATCAGTTTTTGTCTATCACATCAGGTTTTTGAGATATCAAATATTGCATTTTCAATAAAAACTGCAGAAGAAAAATATTAAATAATGTGGATATCTACATAAAATGATATTATAAACAGACTATCCTAAAAATACAGCACCATATTTTAACACTGAAGCAGTCACTGACTCGCAACAACTTGCAATCATAAGTGACAGAGTTAATTTCGGGTAAAATCAATTAAAATGGGGTATGCCGATAGCATAAAATGAGATGTGATAGAGCAAATCTGACATCAGATTTGGAATCAGCACCCTGCAATTAGTCTAGAACAGCTGCAAAAGTCCAGGCCAGAATGTGTTTGTTTTGTTGACCAGTGTTATGGATCGAGCGTCTGCACGGTCAGCGCTGTCACGGTGCACGCCCCCCCGGTATAACTTGGTGCCGTAACTTCATGTGTCGACAGGCAAATCGATGTCATCTTCTCGTCGGCCGCATGCCTCAACGGCAGTTTTCTTCTCTCACAGAGGTAAGGGGCATCACACCTTGCAATTATTCATTTCTCTAACAGGGAGATGAATTAAAATCTAAACTAAACGATTTAAATTTGACCAGGTAAGGCCCACTGAGCTATACGGTTCTTTTCCAGCAGTGACCTGGCCACGAATGATAGCTCAACTAAAGTAGCTTATCATCATCACGTGGACATTTATAGCAGCCAAAACGCACACGTTGATTCTAAAGGGAAAAACCGGAGGACCCTGAGAAAAATCCACGCGGCCACGGGCAGAGAGAGAATATACAATAGGGGTCAGGGGTCAGGATCGAACCCATGAATTCCTGTACACCAGGCGAGGGAGTTAACATCTTGCCACCACGGCACCCCTGAGAAGATTACGTATTCAGCGGAGAGATATTTAACGACAGATGAGCAGACAAAAGTTTCGATTTAAAGCTTTCGTGACTGCAGGGATTCGTCTTCTTGGTTCTTTCGGTAAAGTCACGTAGAAGGAAATAATAAAA